GTCCCAGAGTAAAAAATCCCAACCATCTCAAGTCATTTCTGTAAAGCTTTTTTCACTGTTCCTGTACAGTTGTTAGTCATTTTTGTCTGAGAGGCATCATGAATCACAGACCAGAGGTGTGCTATAGCTAACACTGATTCCTGCTCCTGGGTGGAGTGGCAGCAGTCGGGTGGAGAGGCTGAGAGCAGAGATGGAGGAGCAGGAGGAGCAGGAGGGGGGGGGGGGGGGAATTCACACCAACCCGCCCGTGAGGTGGTCGTGCTTGAAGCCTCCACGCCTCGATAAACCCCATCAAAAGCGCATTAGCCCTCTCCTCTCCCGCCCCCTCCTTCCCTCCCCCTCAGTGCCTCTCCCTCCCTTTACCCCCCCCCCCCCCTTCCCCTTCCCCTTCCCCTTCCCCTTCCTCCGCGCCCACGTCCCCCCACCGCTGTATAATAGTATCTGGCCGGGCCACGCGGCTCGCTGACACACAGCCGGGCGAAAGGGGAGCGATGATGAATTGCTCCCTGTTGGTGTTATCCATGATGATAATTATTAATTTTCCCCCTGCTCCTCTCGGAGAATGGGGGCCGGAGAGCTGCAGTGTTGCGGAGCCTCCTCCACGGGCCGTCATGGAGCCCACTGTCATCACTTATCACAGACAGAGCCGGGGCCCAAGGCTAAACGCTGATGAAAATGAAAAGCGCTCCTTCTGATTTGTCCTGTTTTTAGTGCGTGGGTGTGCATATGTGCCTCCATGTTAAAAGTTAACCCTTCCTTTTCCGTAGTGTTCTTTCTCTTGTACATTTAATACTCCCCCCAATCCTTTCTTCTTCAGAGGCTTTGACCTGCCGAGGATTACAAAAGTCATTGGACACAACTTAAAAGCAGGAGGCGGTTGAAATAATCACATTTTAATTGATCATCATTTATGAACATAAGCATGAATATTGCAACCTTCATTATTTAGATCTATAAAAGAAAACGAGACGGGTGTAGCAGAGGAAGGGAGACCATTGGAGAGGAAGAGTTAAGGGAGGTTGCAGGCTGTGGAGAACAGATGGTGTTTGAGAAGTTTTTTTGAATGAGTCCAAACGTTGGGGCATTGCGGATGTCTGAGGAGAGGGTGCTCCAGAGGGAGGGGGAAGTGACGCTGAAGGCTCTGTCCCCATAGGTGCGTAGTCTGGCGTGTGGTATGGGCAAGCAGGCCAGCGTCTGAGGACCGGCGGTTTTGGGTGAGTGGGTGTAGGAGGTCGGGGAGATACTCAGGGCCAGGGGCATGGAGGGATTCAAAAGTGAGGAGGAGGTTGTTGCGTTTGATTCGGGATCTAGTTGGAAACCAGTGGAGGTGGATGATGGTTTGGGTGATGTGCTCTGTGGCAGCCGAGTTTTGAACATATTGGAGTCTGTCCAGGGTTTTTGCTGGTTACCCCAGACAGGACTCCGTTGCAGTAGTCCAGAGGTGAGGTTGTGAAGGCGTGAATGAGGGTTTCTGTCACTGAGTGGGAGAATAAAGACTAGAGTCGAAAGATATTTTTGGATTGAAGAAGGAATCAAATAGCTTCGTGTGATATGAAAGGGTGTTCTAATTGTGCAATAATGAGAACAATCGAACAAACTCTGTGTCCATTTTGAGTTTTTGTCCCTATTTTAAACTATTTTTTTTAGTGTAGGTGAATGTGCAGTGATCCTGAGCTCTTGGGGAAACTATTGTAACTAACTGTTTGGGTTATAGAGCACATATATGGTTTTGATTTGTTTTGGCACTTTTTTAAAGCTAAAAGCTCTGTTAGCCTACTTTATTCTTAATTACTTAACACCAAACAGCAAATAGTTAGTAAAGTCAGTGTAAAGTGCAGTAGCAAAGGGCCCTTTATTATTATTACACTGTTTTTAAATATTTGACATCAGGTGCCAAAAATATGCTCTAAATGCTAAGATGTCAGAAAGAAGACAAATGATTTCTAACATTTTAGATCAAGTCATGAGGTTTGATATCTTACAGTCTTTCGATTTGCAAAACGTTCTGTCCCCTAGTGGCTTGAATTGAACTGATGCTACTTTAAGGATTTGTAACATCTGTACCACTTACAGGGTAGTTTAGAGGAGTCGTTTTTTTGGGGGTTTTTTTTGTACTTTTCTACTCTTTTTTTTTTTTTTTCTTATAATGCTATTCTATTTTATATATAATTTCAACTTTTTTTGTAGAAGCTGACTCAGGGAGAAACACACAAAAATTCCAATGTACCTGTACTGTCCTGTACCTGTGCAAATGGCAATAAACATCTATTCTATTCTAGTCATCACTTCGTACTGATGCAAGATGGAGTGCAAAGAGAGCAATAAAGGATACAAACACAAAAATACAACTGTACTGTTTGATCGAGCCCAACCAATATGGGATTTATGGGGCTGACACATGTATCGATATTAGGGAGGGGAAAAATATCAGATACCGATATATTAGCAGATATCTAACTTAGGTCTAATTTCGATCTTGTATTTATCGCGTTGATCCCTCAAATGCAGTTATCAAACAACTGTGGAAAAGAAAGATGAACATAATGAAGACAAGATGGTCACTCAACTGGAAAGTAACTCTGCATGTATGTGCGCTATTTGGCTGGTAAATAAATCTATTAATATCGGCACATATCTGCGATAAAATTAGCCGATACTGATATGCTAATATCACTTTCACAGATGTTTTTATTCTTAACAAGCAAAGACGATCAAAAAAGTCCTGTCTCTGTTGGATAGAAGTTCTCAGTTCCCATCTGGAGAGAAAGTTTGAATCCGTCACTGTTTTACTGGATGCTGTTAAAGCTGTCATTAAGTTTTTTTTTAAAGGGGCCCGAGTAGTTTGACAAACTCTCTTCCCCCCCCCCTGCTCATTTTAAATCAGCAATCATTTAACTCTCTGATCCTCTCGGTGCAGTTGATAGCAGGTGTGTGAGTCATGGAGATCTTTATTGCTTATCTTTCATATCTTCGATGCAGCAGGCAGTTACTATCCCTCTTTTTCTGTCAAATGTGATTTTAATGAGGCATCAAGGCACCGAGCTTCTCCGCTGCCTCTGTATCTGCAGAAGTTTCACTCTCTGGCCCAAATTTTAAATTGCCCGTCTTGCTGAAGTGTGAAAGTTGCACAACGCAGAAGTGACAATCAATCTCGCTTACGAGGCATTGTCATCGGCGCGGCGCGTTCAGGATGATCTCTGCCTCTCTGACTGAGGGAGGTGAATCCGCTCTGCCTGACGAGTAATTACGGCTAATTTCCTAATTACCTCAGCACCGAGCGCCTCTGTAGCATTCATTAAAAGCCATAATTGCATTGGGTTGACATGCTCTTTTATCCACTTTGGGTTATTTTCTGCGGGTTTTAGCTGTGAGCTAGCGGTGCCGCCCCTTCCTGTCTGAGTCGATAAAGGTTGATTGAGGGCTCGGTGTGGGAAGAGTGTTGAACACAGCTTCTGACAGCATCGTGTATATCAAGTCTCTGTTTCTTTGTGCGTACTGTATACAGCTGCTGAATGAACAAAAAGTTCCTCCTTGCCAAATATAGGAAAACTTACAAATACATAAATATAGTTTGGGCATTTCAACTGAGGAGAGACACAAATCAACAAAAAGGCGGTGTATAAGAGGTATCATTAGATCCTCTGTCCCCTCTCCTGCTCCTTCCCTTCATTTTAACTTCCTTTCTCTTCCTTTATATGTTTCCCATTCCTTTTCCTCCCTCCTCCTTTCCCCTCTCCCGTCCTCCTCTTTTCCTCTTTCCCTCTCTTGCATCGATTCGGTTCTTCTTTGTCTCACAGAGCTGGCCTCCAAGTTGTCAGCTGCGTCAGGATTAAAAGCTATTAGTTCTGCATCATTGCCACTACAAGTGCACGCCTGAGATTGATAGAGTGCCTCTCTTCCTCCAGTAGGGAGAGAGATGGGAGGAAAACAAGCCCTGGGGGGGGGGGGGGGGGGTGGAGTGGTGGTGGGGTTGGTTTTTTACCTCACATATCTGACAACGGTCACCTACAGGCACTCTGGCCCTGGACTGTCCCTCAGTTTGTTTAAGATTTGTGAATTGGATTTTCTCTTTGTTGGGTTTAGAGCTCTGTAAATCCTTCCCAGCAGACAGCACAGTTTAAAAAAAACTGCTGGTTTTGGGGAATTGGACTTCAGTCTGCAGGACAAAATAGGCCATCGTTTCTTGCCAAATCTAAGACTGAAAAGAATTTAGACTTCTTTTTTTCCTCATTTGTTGACACAAAGTCATATCGACGCAAAAATGGATTATCCAGATGATCATGTATTCATACTAGTTTGATATATATTTTCCATAAATTATTTCTCCTCTGTGCAGACTGTTTTTTTAAAGTGCTGTCAACAAAAATAGCCACCTTTGCTAATTTCATGTACCAAGCTGGATTTTTCTTCATTTCTTTTTTTTCTCTGTCAGCAAAATTGCCTCCATGAAGTTTGGGGGGCTGCCTCATAATTGATTTCTTTTGTCCAGTGACAAGTGTTGCGGATGAGGTGAGAGGGGAGCGTACAGCCGCTGCTGTTGACTCAGCCTGAAACAGAAACTCCGTCTGGTTTTCAGAGGACGCAGAGGGAATGCAGTTTTCACAAGAGTTATAATAAGACCCACTGTATCTGTGACAGGGTGGCCAACACACTTCTCCAGAACATATACACACACACACACACACACACTCAAAACAATGACCTGGTAAGCATGGCTAGTGAAATGAAATGAATTTCTCAGTTTCCTCTTGGCACCTTATAGAAATGCTGTAAAGGTGTCTGTAAATATTTGAACAGTGAATTTTGTCCGCAGTTTGTTTTTACTGCCTTACTCCTGAACACAGCGGCTCTCCGTCTTATTAAAGTCATTAAAACCTCGAGTCTTGCTCTGCCTCCCGCCTCCCTCTCAGCTCTGCATGTCAGAGTTGCAGCGTAGTCAAACAGATCCAGGGGTTTATTGTGCTGTCACATTCTAACACGACCCTCATATTTCATTGCAGGCAATTGTCGGCTACTTTGACATTTTCTTTGACAAAGGCTGCAGCAACAAGGTAAGCAGCAACGGCAACAGCCAAGCCATTTAACGGAAACTCAATTATGTTCACGCTTTAGCGTGTTCCTCCTCCCCGAGGCGTTGGCTGGCAATCGACAGGCGTCCTAGCCGACTGCTGATATAAGCACTTACCCAGCAGAGCAGGCCGGTTGGAAAAGCCGATGCCAAGCTCTGTGAGCAGCACGGACATGCCTTCTGATTGCGCTTCCTATTTTACCTGAGAGTCGAACTGCATGCTGTGGATGGTCCAGCACATTTCTATCACGGAGCGAAGGCTAACACAATGTAACATGAGGTTATCTGTTTCATAAATACAGTGCAGTTAGGATTCTTTGTAATATAGTAATAACTGTCTGAGTGGATTGAAGCTTAGGTTTAAATATAATGAAGAATGACCTCATGACCTTCATAATGTGCGTTTAGGTTTATAACTGTGAACTTTTCTGTGGTATCTGTTTGGATGACTTTGTTGTTTAACTATTATATATACCGGTATTACAAATCAGGTTCACTTCTTTAGGTTGTTATGTTTGTATTTTGACAAAATAATTTGCTGTAAGTCCAATTTTACGAAATAGCGAAGGGTTTAAACTTTTTAATTAGACTCTGTCTTTAGTCATTCAAAAGTAGTTTCTGTCTTTTTGAAATGCTACGACTTGACACAGTTTGTTTCCCCCCCCCATCCATCATCTGGCCAGGTGATGTTCTCCACGGGTCCTCAGGTCACAAAGACGCACTGGAAACAGACTGTCTTCCTATTGGAGAGGCCTGTCCCTGTCAAAGCAGGTCAGTAACCACGGCGACCATCACACTGCTTGGAAACATCATTCCTTTGACAACTCTCATTTACATATTTTATTGTAGAAGAGTTTATAAGAATGGTTAAGTTTGGATTTTGCATGTTCACACTCTCTCCCGTGATCTTTTTTCCTCTTCTTACACCCGTGGCGTGCGTCATAGCGAGCTGCGGCAGGTAATCTGTCTGCTGTGGAGATGTAGTCAGGCTGGTTGACACCCGTTATCTGTCAGCGTCAGAGACAGCGAGGGATCAAAACAAATCACATTCAGCCATCAGAGACAGCATGTAAAACTTCATCTGATAGCCAGTCACAGGCCTCTGAATCATGACACGCTGCGAGACGAGCGCTTTGTAACTGACCACTGCAACGTTTATAGAACGCTGCTTCAGCAGATTAAAGTTTTATCCCTCCTGTAGCTTTACATGAGGCATGGCGGACTTTCTGTCTGCATGTTCAAACATGTCGGAGCGCCTTGTATCGCTTTATTTTTTGTGATGTTTAAAAATGACGTACTTGCGACAGATCAGTTTAGACGTTTATTTGACCTCATTTTAATCTCGATCTATCATTGAAGACATGTCCTCATGTAATGCGATGATGCTGAATAATTATACAACATGCATAGAATAAAGAAAACTGAATAAACAGAAAACAAACAAATCAAAAGTGAGATCATTTTAGTAACGGGGGAAAACAAAATCAGAGAAAGCAGTACGGCTAACAAAAGTTACATACATGAAAAATGTCGTTTTTTAATCATGTTTTCAGATCGACCTTTGGTAACAACTTTATTTTTAAGGTGTGATTGCAAAGTGTTCCAGGTGTGTGCAGCACAAACAATAGATGTCATTTTGCCAATTGTAAGTGTTTGCTCTTTGAACTGTGTGAAAAACAAAACAGATTTAAGTTTTGAAGAATGTCTCACACCTTAAAGCAAAACCCTCACCAGAGTATCAAAAGCCATTCTTCTATTACAAGAGGTGAGATTCACACATATCGTTCTTTACTTCAATTCTACACTTCACTTAGCAGACGCTGTTATCCAAAGTGACAGACATCAGAGAGTGAGTAGAACACAAGCATCTAGAGAGGAGGAAACAACGCCAGTGAGTGCAAACAATTTCAAGTCTGATTGGATACAGATGCTGACAGGAAGTGCACGGAGGCAGATTCTTTTTACGAGCTGAATGTGTTGAAGACACGCAGCCACAGATACTTCACAACGATGAGCCACATGCAATACTTTCACACCATTCAGACCCGGACACAGAAGAGGGTGCTGCTAGGTTCTCTTTCACATCACTGAAGAAACTCTCCATGTTTTCTCCGCTGTGCTCTGATCCATCCAATTTGTAATTTGATGCTAATTAATCTAAACATTATACAAATTAAATAAATTCCACTTTTCTGTTGTGTCAATGTCAGTGCTGATCATGGATCTCATCAGATTTGATCAGGTACTTCATTTTAGTCTCTGGACTTTTGTTAATTGAGTGGGCCCCTCCACCTCAATCTGTAAGGGTCCCAGGATGGGTCCCAGGATTTAGCCTAGACACCTGCAGACTTCTACTACTCGCCTCTGCTAACTTATTTTTGTGTGCAGTATATTTCATTTATCTCAAGAAGGTTCTCTCTGAGCCTGTGTGATTTCAATCAGAGAGCATTGGTGCTAAATACAGGAAGAGAAACTTATTTACATCATTAGTTTCATTTTGACTTTTGTTTGTTATCCGTCAGAGGTTACACGGGTCGTGTGAATGATCCAGTGTTTATTACCGCTGTGCGTTGTGGCCTCCTGTGTGCTTTATCATAATGGGAATCAGGGATGTGTCGGCTGATGTGAGGATGGATGAGCCTCTGGGGACCTGCTGTCCACTCGCTGACCAGATATTAGATGGAGTTTACTGTAATAAATGACCTGCAGAGGGACGGAGGCGCTTACATGTCAGGCAGGCCCCCTTAGCCACGCTCAGCTCCAGCCGGCCGCCAGCCGCCCGGGCGATAAGAGCGTCAAACCCTCTGATGCAGCTCAAACGTTATCGCAGGCTCCGCGCTCTGCTCTGGATCAGATAAATGGAGCTGAGTCTGAGAGCTGAGGACGACAGTATGCTAACACAGAGCGGGGGTGTGCGAGAAGAGAAACAAAGACAGATTTAATTCTGACTTATCAGGTGCAGACTGTCAAATGTTTTACACTTACACCTGTGTGTGTTTGTATATGTGTGATGCACATAAAGACCAGTGACAAATCAAAAACGAGAATAGAGGAACACGGTGCATTACGATGCTTCCATTCAGACAATATAACCATGTGAAAGAAATCTACTTTTTTCTTAACCAGCAATCTGAATGAGGTTGAACACAGCAGATCAACTTGGATTGATAAGAGTAACATACCCTCGTCCCTCCAGTAGAGTGAATATGTAATGAGCAGCATGTGGTGGATCAATACCTAATAAGACGTTTCATTTTGGTTATTCATCTGAATTAATCATCCATATGCTTGTCCTTTATTCATGTGCATTTTTGGGGGGTTTCTTTATAATTTGTGATGTTTTGTGTGCAGTTTTTCCAGGCCAGGTAAAAAATGATTATTCCTATTTAACTTCACCTGTCACCTGTGTCATATTCCCCATTGGTCAATGGCTTTGTATCCAAGTTCAAACTGGATTTATAGATGTATGGAGTTAGATTTGCTGACATCATTCATGGCCCTCACTGGATGAATCAGCTGACTTTTGTTTACTTTTACAATCACTGAACATTTTCCTCTAAACATTGTTATGGCACATTTAGGCCAACATGTCAGTTAAGACACAGTTAATATAAACATTTAATATGCAAACACTTAGGCTCAGTTATTGTCCCAAGAAGATGAACCCTCTTATGAACACTTGACAAAATGACCCCTAAAGGGTCTAATGGGAGCAGAAAACATGCTTTTTTTCTGCAGGGCATCGCTGTCTTTTGGTGCAACAAGACTTATGTCCTGTGCTTATATAATACAATTGAAAGTCTGTTGGTGTGGATCAAGTGTTGTACTATAACATTTTTAATGCGACTCACACCCACACACAAAACAGATTATCTTTTACCCCTCTCACACTTTGTCTTTTTTTATCCTTTTGCTGCTTTTACAGTCAGCAGAGCATCTGGGCTCTTGGGGCTTTCTCTGGGGCGAAGTGACACATCACAGCATCAGCCAAGACACACACACACACACACACACACACACACACACACACACACACACACACACACACACAAAAATACACACACGTGTAAACTCACATGCGCACACACACAAACATAGACGTGTTAAATCTTAGATCTATCAGGTTTTAATCAGGGTTAAACTCGAGCTTAAACAAACATCAAGCCATACAAATCCTTCAATCTGGATATTCGCTTTTTATTCAGACAGAAAAAACTGAGAAGAAAAAGTTTTTAAAAAAGAAGATCAAAATGAATGTGTGTGTGTGTGTGTGTGTTTGTGAGCGGCAGGTTATTGATGTGTTCGCTCCACCTCGGCACCCTGACAGTCCCAGAGCCTCCTCCAGGGGCCGTAAACCAGAAATGGAGTTTTTAACAGCATTCAGCAGCTTCCTGCTAGGCTCCTTTGGTGTATTTTACAACAGACACACACATGCACACGCACTCTCACACACACACACACAATCACATAAAGCTCCTTCTACACACTTAAATTCACAAGAGGACTTGCATACTTTTATACCAAACTCCCTTCTGGCTGTAAGAGAAAACTTCCTAAAGTCACCTTGAAGATGGCAAAACTCTACACTCAACACACAACAACACACACACACAGCCACACACACACACACACACACACACAAAATGCATACATGCAAACACATTATGGCCTCTAATTATGTGTTTTGACTCAGAAGCACCTTCATCTCTGATCGGCTGCATTGAGGGCCGGGCATAAACATGCAGTGGTTTGTTTTAATACCGACTCTGTCTGTGGTGATTTATCGCGGCCGAGACTGAATCCTATTTGATGTGTTTGTACGAGTGCAGCAGTAATTAACTCTGAGACTGCGCTTCTGTGGGAGGTGCCTGCGGATGAGAGAGAGAAGGCACGCAGCAGGCTGGAACAAAACATCCCTGCAAATCCTCCCGGCTGGCAGCGTAATAAATTAAACAGCGAATCATTTGTCATGCTCTGGTGTGTTTGTGTAGCTCCAGTATTGAAGAGGAGGGTCTTTTAACACAGCTTTACCTGCCCGATGTCCACAAGAAAAAGGAGGTCACACTTTTTTTTTTTTTTTGTTGCAAGAAAGTCCCATGATCCTCGAAGGTGAAACGGTGGCCTGGTTACCTGCGCCGAGGGGCCACTCAGAGGAGCTGAAACTTGGTCATTTGTTATTTTGGGGGCTTTCATTGGACAGTCAGGTGGTCTTTGTTCCCACCCACTTTCATGACTCATATCCTCTGTCCCGAGTACAGGGTGTGATGATTACCCCCCCCCCCCGCCCTCACCTGTCCATGCTTAATTTAAACAGCTCCTCCTGTACTCAACACCCTCCTCCCGGTTGAACTCTGAAGGTCCTTGAGCTGTCACCGGCAAGAAGTCGAGCCAGGTGTCACATCCTTCAGGGCTGTAATTCAGAACATTGGGCTGCTGCTGTGTCTACAGGCTAAGAAATACTGCCCATCAGATGTGCTGATGGACTGCATGCCCAATCAAAATGTGGGCAAGGTTTCAGATCATGGGGTAAATTTATGTTGGAGTACTCCCAGGATTAGTGCTGAGTGTGCTAAACGGCTTGTTCTGCAAATCACACAATAGTTCACCGATATGAAACCAAGAAAATCACGAGGCGGCTTCAAGCCTCAGTCAAGAGTTACATCAGATTCACAGGAATTCTGACCTGGTCTCAGGCTGAGGTCGCATTTGAAAAGATCCAACCTGTATCTGATTAAGGGCCACATATGAAAGTGGTCCAAATGATTTGAAAAGATCAGATTCCACGAGACTTGCACTGTTCAAACCTTTCGTTAAAACAATCTGATCTGACTTACCTATGAGCAACAAAGTCAGATTCAGGTCACTTTTGCCTGCAGTGTGAACGTGGAGCATACCTGCTCTGTAACGGAGATGGCTGAAGTGGAAGACAGAACACTGAAACTGCACATTGTACTGCACATTAGCACATTGCAAGACATACATTATGTGCTTGGTATTTTCACATTATTCATTGACAACATGTCTCCCCTTCCTTAGCTAAACTGTATTCTACTTACATTTTAAAAGACACTCAAGTGATTTGAACAATTTTAGCAAAAACACCCTGAACAAAACATCTTTGGTTTATTATCGACCAATGCTAGGCGATCCAAAGGCATCCTGTGGCCCTAGCGTTTGTGATATGTTGGCACAGAATTACACTTGTCAGCTTGTTGGGCCAGTTGAGTACATTGAGTGGGCAGCGGAGGTCAATGCTTCATCGGAAAAAATAGTTTGTTTTCCCACAGTCCTACATCTTCTGGTTTAGCTTTTTAAATGACAAGTATCATCACCACCTGCTGGTATGGACTTGATGCAGCCACAGAATATACATGCCACCTTGCCATTGGCTGTAGTTTTTGCAGAGCATTCAAACCCAACTTCTTGACCAAAACCCAGGCGACTTGGCAATACGGCCGGCTTTTTTGCCCCGAGAGCTATGGTGTTGGTTCTTTAAGTCTTGGTTATAAGAGGGATGTTTGTGCAAGCACAGTAGTACTGACCCATGTCTATAAAATTGCTCCGTATGAAATGAACTTGGTTCACCTTTCATTGGGGACACAAAGTAACCAATCTTCTCTATTGAAGAAAATCAAGGCGTTTTCCTGTGAAAAGCACTCGGCTCATTCTTCTCCTTCCCTCTCTTGGTGGGGTTGCACATGCTGTAGAAGCGTGAGCTAAATGGTGAAAATGAAAATGACAACAGTTTAAATGAATTACTAACACCAGCCGTGTATTTCCAGTGTAATTTCATGGAGAAAGACTGCGCTGGGGCGGAGAGAGGCTGTTTCTGCAGGCCTGGTTGTGCTTAATGACACTGGCATGTTGATGTACGACATCGCAGCTCCCATTCCCCGGCTCATTTCCACACATGGTTAACTCTTTCTCCTAGCATCTGAGTGGCCAGTTTGCTGAAGGCACCGAGGCCCACTCCCATAGGGAGTTTGGTGTGACTGATTACAGCCGAGCTGCTGTAGTCGCACAGACGCTGCACACATATTCAGTCCGTGGTTCAGTTTGTTCGTTTCAATACTTTAACCTGAGGCATCAGGGATTGCTTGGACAGCTGCAGGCCAGAGGTCTCGAGTCCCACACCTCGTCTTTTCTGTTAGTTGTGTTGCAACAAAAAGTTCAGCACAGGTCATGCAATTATTCTTTTGACCTTAAGCAGCCTTTTGCAAACTTGAGATTGACTCCAGCCTCCCATGAGCACCAGGCCCTGTTGCTTTTAGCTGACTCCTTGGTGTTTCCTATATAATGAGTTAAAGAAGAGAGGAGGAAACCTTGTCTTTATAAACTCAAATATTGAGACATTCAGATGCTCAAGTACTCAAATATTTGTCTTTAATTTTTGAGTAACAGAAGCACAAGCCCCATAGTTCATGTAGTGAAGCACGCTTCCTTACAGCTGAAATTACAGTTTGCATTTTCTTTATTTTTGCATGACATTGAGCAGCACTTGAATTCCTGAAGTAAGGCTCTAAAGGAAGCTACTGGCTGATTCTACTGGGAATAACCCTTCTCAACTAGTGTCCTTTGAGTCAGGTGGACACAGAGCACATGTCTGAATGGACATTTTTGAGCCACACAGAGAGAACACAAACCAGGCATGTGTGTTAGGGACCTTTCATCTTACAATTTGGTTGGCCAGCATCCACATGTCGACCACTGACCCAGTTCATTAAGTTGGTGATGAAGTGCGGCCAGGAAGTAACATTTAACTTTTGGCTACAGTAAAAAACCTCTTTGTCAAGTCTTGGTAGTCAGAAAATGAACATTTCTGCTTTCTTAGAACTTTCACTTAGATTCATTCTGAATAATTACAACCCAAAAAAGCTGTGGTTTTTAATTTTGGATGGCATAAATCCTGCCTAGAAGATAATTATTGGCCCCAGCAAAGCTCCATAGATCTATAACAAGAGGTTAGCAACCTCACATTGAATGGTGTGTTTTAAAACTAATCTTAAAGCAGCTTGTAGGAACTTTTCTTTGTGTTTTTGACAGCCCAGTGAACCGTGCAGTACCTCTTATCTCATCACTAATCCAGTCCTGTGCATGTATGCAGTCTCTCAAAACAAATCTTGTCGCTCTTCTTTTTAACCGTATTCAGGGACTGCTCACAGTGAAATAAGCCGTAGGACGTATGAACAAGCCTGCATGCTGTATGTTGTTTCTTCAGAATCTGATCAGGCATTAGGAAATCCACAGGGGTTTCGTAGTTGTGTTGCCGATGGAACAGTTTTCTTGTATAGCTCAGACAGCATCACTAATGAGTTCAGACTGTTTAATAACTACTTTAAAAACTCCTCACATTGGGGTGCTGGTGGCGCAGTGGTTAGAGTGCGCCAACCTCATGTATGGAGGCTGTAGTCCTCCGGGCGGACGGCCCAGGTTCAAATCCAGCCTGTGGCTTCTTTCCCGCATGTCGTTCCCCTCTCTCTCTCTCCCTGATTTCCAACTCCATCCACTGTCTGAAAAAAAACTCCTCACATTTCATTTTTTATATTTTACTATTGGTTATTCCTCGAGGTGGATTTACACCTTTTCATAACTTGTTAATGAAGTCTTGAGACTTTGAGTCTTTGTAAAATGTTCCTGCTGTGTTTTTTTTACTAAGGTGAGTTTCTTCAGTTAGAAAAGGGATTTTATATTCAACATCTTGAATCTGAAATCTGATTTTCAAAGTTTAGTTCTTGCTCATTTGTAACTCTGTCAGCTTGTCCGTTAAGGAGGCAAAGTGTAAACGCTGCGTTCGTCTGCAGTGGAGCGACAGACCCAGAGCGCGGCGCCAGCAGCCAAGACTCAGTGACAGCGCTGTTGGCATGGTAACCAGTAAGACGTGACAGCAGTGATGGCGGAAGCTTAGCTGGGAAAAAGCACCACAGTCAGCATATTTTTTCTCCTCGTCCTCCTCTAACCTCGAGCGATGAAGAGATCGTAGCACAGAGAGGAGGTGCAGGCGGAGTGAGTGGAGGGGAGGGGGGGGGGGGCGTATTTGGAGAGGGGTGAGAGAGGATCCTTGTTTGCCGTGTGGATAAACATTCATTTACCTCCAGCAGTCAAACGTGAAGTTAATCAGAGTGATTATGCATCATAATCATCAGCCTCTTCTCCCAACCCTCCGGTTGCTCGTGCATTGTACTGTAAACGCACTTCCTCTCGATGCCATCTGGTGGTTTCTGCAGGTCTGCATTCTCTCTCTCACACACACACACACACACACACACACACACACACACACACACAAAGTCCTTCGTAGTGACATACATTAAACCACACTACCGTTACACACGTCATCAGCTCAATAAGCAGTGGTATGTTTCGACTCTAACTGCAGAGTCCTGACATCAGCAGATCTGAGCTGCTGCAGGGCGTCAGGAATATTTCTTTTTATGAGCAGTTATTCATTTCTGTTTATTATAATTAACACTTCTTAATAATACTTGTATAATTCTACATTTTTAGGGGGGCTTTGTATGCCTTTATTTTAGAGACAGGACAGAGGATAGAGTCAGAAACAAGGGAGAGAGGGAGAGTGGGGAAGGTGCCACAGGTCAGATTCAAACCTGACTGAAGGGGGGGGATGAAGGCGCCATACTGGAGATACTAAACTGACCGCTCTTGAGGTCTAAGCCTGTTCACATGGGCCGCGCTTGTAATCTTTAGTTGATTGTAACTCCCCTCTCATTTTTACTTAATTCCTCTTAACGTTTTTTTTGGCATTTTTTAGAAGCTCTTGCATCTGCAGTTTCTTTCCAGCTTGAACCAAAGTCTTGCTTTTTCCTTTTTTTTTGCAAATTTCACATTTCTCCACTGCAGAGAGATGGACAACAGTGTGTAAAAGAAAAATCCCCCCCTCCAACTTAACCCCACAGCAGCTGATTCACTCTGTACATCATCACAGCATCCACTACAGAGCAGGAGGGAGGCACTCTCCAGGCAAAGAAAAAAAGAGATCCATTGTTATTTATCTCCTCTTCTTTTTTTCTTTTCTTTTTTTAGGGGAGGAGCTTCGAGGAAAGATCACAGTGCGTAAAAACAAGAAGGACCCTCGCTCCCTGCTGGTCACTTTTGACCTCAGAGACAGGAAGCAGACTTACAGCCTGCAGTAACACCAACCTCCACAGAGGGCAGCATCAAGCAAATAAAGTCTGTTTCTTAATGTATTCACAACAGTAGGCAGGATATTGAAACTGTATTTTAGTTCATGTAAAGATTGTTTCTGCGCCTTGTAATAAAAAGAACAGTTGTATAAGTTTTTCTCTTGTGTTTTATTTAGCGTACAGTACAGTGAGATGATTATCCTCCAACTGAATTTAAAAGTCAAGGTTTTAATCCGTGTTTGAAGGGAATTACATTTTCTGTTTTTCAAGGTGAAACACAACACGACACTTTGAAATACAGTCATAAATGCTGTTGAAACATCAATCAGGCGTCACCAAGGTGTCAAAACATCACAACTTGAAAACACAGTCGTCAACCCTGAATGTCTTTGACCTTTTGAGTCCACTGTTATCGTGCACTTTGACTCATATTCCACTGACGGATCAAAACACTGAGACAAACAGACTTCCAGAACTTTGTTTAAAAAAAAGTATCTCTTTATGTCCCTCCACATTCCCCTCTGCATTGTCCTTCTTTAAGCTTTGTGAGATCTCACTGCAGGCCTCATCCATCTTCTGTGAGATTACTGGGACGATGCAAATTACATTTTAAGCTTTTTTTTTTAAAGGGTTGACTGAAGACTCTTTACATACTTCATCCAGCAGTTTTGATTACAATTAAAGATTTCTTTCCCCTCTTCCTTTTCTGCCTGAAATGATAAGTCCTGGACTCTAAAGAAGAAGAAAAAAGTGTAGTCATCTGTGAGGGGGAGGAGGAGGAGGAGAGGAAGCAGACAGTGAAAGTGGCTCTTACTGGTAATTTGACAGCTACTGCTTTTGATGTATTTCTACTGCTCCTGTGTCCTCTCTGCCATTATAGAATTACAGTCTGCTCTGCGTTTCTGATGTCGTTAAAGGGCAAATCCTGGAAAGAACAGAAGATGTTTGCATGTTTTTCAAAGTTGGCTGGAAAGAAAACAGTTCACTGGACTGCAGTTGCATCTTTAATGAGTTGCCAACACTTCAACATGCAGTCCATTGGATATTTTCAGTTTCTCAATATATTGTTCTATCTGGATGGGACATTTTTTTTTTTTTGAAAGCCTGACATGCTGACTCCCTGCTGCACAATGCTGCTGGACACTGAAACTCGTAATCATCATAGGTGCTCAAATCATCATAGGACCTATCACAGGCTTACAAAGTATCGTCTTATAATATATTATCGTGCTCAAAAGCACAGGGCATCGTCTGTTCTCTTCCTTTCTAAAACGTGGTTAACGTCCATGCAATAAATATAGCAGAGTGTAAAATAACATGGGGTGTTACAAACAGTGCCACATGGGACCCTTACCCCAAACCTCTGGCGACAACGTCCCGTATTATTTCCTCCATCCATCGCCCCTAACCTCCGTCCCAAGCAGACTTATTCTACTGTTAAATTAAGGTAGTTTCTCTGAGCGTCAAAAATCGGCACGGAAGGGTTTGAACGCGTAAGAAGTGTGGTTAGTTTCAGTAGGACGCTGTCGCCGGGTAGGAGGGTACCCAGTGCGCGTTCATGTGACGCAGGGGGCCGTAACCAGTCGTCAGTATTTGACGCATTGGGAGTGAGAATAGGCTGCATTATAAGTTTTCATAGAAAAGACCGATAGGCCTACTTTAGAATTTGGAAGTGTTTTTAAGAAGCCCATTAATGACGTTAATGGTTTCACAGGAAACATTTATTCATTTGAGTTAGGCCTACATAGGATGTGAATCAAATGCAGCCCATTGATTTTATGTCAAGCAGCTTTTTCCCTAAGAATGTTTTTTTTTTTTTTTTTTTTTTAAACATATAACAATGTCTAAATAACTGCAGCACTTATTGAAACTGTTCACACTTTTTCAAATCACGTTCAAGTCACATCCAGTTGTTAATATCGTGTTTCTTCTGTGTGGTGATCTGTTCTCAAATCAAAGATAATAACAAGAATATGCATTACTTTATTTTTAAACAAATGAGAGAAACAAGGGGCGTGATTTTTTTTTTTTTTTTTTTTTTAATACAGTAAAAAGGAAGGCCTTCTTTTGTGCAGGGGTTCACAGAGTCGAACTTCACTTGTCAAGTGTCAGACAGGACTGATCATGATGATGATGATGATGATGATGGGCGCTGTGAGCCTCTGGGTGACCTCCTCCGCTGAATCACTGCTTTCCAGGCGCTTCAGCTGGATGAGGCTTCTTATCAGTCAGGCAGACAGAGGGGGAGTGATCAATTAATTACTCGAGCTCGTGTAATTAACGAGCTCGAGGAGACACCGAAAAAACCCTCCACTCCACGAGGAGGCTGGTTTAGTGACCCCATCAAGCAGATCAAAAGAAACATATAGGACGAGGAAATCACAACTTTAGACCCCAAATATTCTGTATAGTCGAGGTCAGAAATAACGTTTGGGGTATTGTTGAGTGTCTTCTCTAAAACCAGAGTGAGAATCTTTTGTGCAAAAAAAGAAGAAATAAAAACACTATTGGAATGGGAAACCATGACGCTCTTTCTAAAGGCCTGCAAACCATGTTCCCTTCTTTGAATGACTCAGTGTGTGTGTGTGTGTGTGTGTGTGTGTGTGTGTGTGTGTGTGTGTGGCTCAGTGGTAGTAGTCCTTGTGTTCAGCGGACTCCGGAAGACGAGCAGAAATCAATTACAATTATTCTCTGTTGACAATGTAATTAAAGTCAAGGCGCCGGCTAATACTCCTGCTCCAGTCTCTTATCTGGAACCGACGGAGATTTACAAGCAGAGAAACCCGGCGTGAATAGTAAGTGGGCGGCCCCGAGTGGGTCTGTGCGCGAGTCCCGGTGGGACCACACTGATCCCACCGGGGGAGTGTAGCTCCACACACCTCAGAGGTCTGCTGAGGTTTAAAACAGGACAAGTTCAAAATGGCAACACGATTTTAATGAGTATGCAAAAACTACTTCAACAAGGATATCATTAAGCCTAATTAATAGGTTAATTTATTAAAACACATCCGGTGGTGTTTTTTGGAGGATTCGTTTGAGTTTTTTAAAACTTGAAAATGTTTGAGAAATCAATTTAAAAAAAGCAATTGATCTATGTAATAGAACAGTAAAATGACAAAAACTAGCCCGATAATTTACGCTTCAACTAATATGATCACATTTAATAACAGGCTAACTTAACTTAATAAAATATTTTATTTTGAAAATACTGACTTTCTCCACTCTTCATTTTATTGTTCAAATAGGCCTAACTGCTTGCCATCCGGGCTCTATCGAATCTACTCGACCAATTAGGGAACAAGGATTGTTTCTTCTCTAAAACTGCGTGGTTGCCTAGCAACAACGCACACGCTTAAAACTGGTTATTTTTTTGTGTGTGACTACATTTGTAATTGGCCTGTCAGGTCTGAGATAAGCGTCGGAGGTCCAACCAGCGTGACTCAGTCAATCAGAGCAGAGGCCCGCAGCTGTTTCGCTTTGTTAGGCTAAAAATGTTCTATGTTGCTACAAAGTGTCAAGATTAAACGTTTAATACGAAATCAATTAACCTCCCTCGTGTTTGTGTGTGCGTGTGAATGTAGCTCTGAACCCCTCATAGTGTAATCACGGTCCACTGTATGGAGGCCTAAAGATAAAACTGTTTCTAATTAACACTTTTTTTTTACAGTATGTTAAATAATTGTGTCTCTGTAGTTTGAGATAAATCAGCAGACAAAGTACTTGCATATACATTATCTGTTTCAGTGGAGACTTGGAGACTGTTATGCGCAATGCAGTGTTTTAGAATCTCCAGTATGACGCCTTTATTCCCCCCTTCAGCCGTCACTGCTTCCAGTCCAGGCTTCAGTGGTTGGCTCGAGTTCATCCAGACGCACGTGATTTAAGCAAAAAGAAGAAGAAAAAAAAAGAAGCCACCTCCTTGCGTACGACTTTAACAAATGAGTAGCTTTATAAAGACCTCGCCCACATTTTGGAAGGAAAAAAAAAAACTTGATCAATGCTCCTATCGCTGACGCACGAGGAACGTATAGAGCCTGGAGCGCGCTGTGCGTAAAACCCATCAAGTGGAAAAACTATTTATAGTTCACACCATTTTTAGCACATCCTTTTCTTTTTATTTTATTTTAAAACTTTCCACCGCCTAAACACATGCATTACGAAAAACCTGCATTATATTTTCTTAGCAAAACTTCAAACTGTTTTGGGATGAACGGGTGTACTCCCGTTTATGTATCAGGCCTACATGGCTGAAATAAATGTAACAATTCTATAGATCAAATGATCTTGTGGACTGCACAAACACCTCTCCCATGCGCGGCTACTGTAATTGCAACTGTAGTTGGGAAAACCGACTCAGCACTATGTTCTCATTATCTAGACCCTCGTGTTCTCTGGTGTAGCCTATAAGATCTTCTCCAATGAAAGCCCAAACCAAGAAATCTTTATCCCAAATCAGCAGTGTGTGTATGTGCTCGTGTGGGATGCGTCCATGTATGTGCATGGTGCATGTGTGTAATCATCTAACACCTCCCCAGAGACAAGTGTATTAATCAGCTTTGAAAGAGTCCGTCCAGTTCTCACGCATGCACCGTGCGTAAACCCAGAACGCACACAATCCACGCACGCATACACGCGCCCCTGTCGTCTTGGCTCCTGTTGTCCCTTTAAAAATCCGAAACCAAGGCCAATGATTTATCAAACTCCTATTATCAAGAAAATGTCACGCGAAGGGCACCTTGCTCGGCACTGACGCAAACTCGACTCTTTCTCACGGAGCTATAGAAAAGCTTTGCACTTGGTGCTTTGCACGGATACAAGCAGTCCTCTTCCAGTCCTCTCCTCCTCTCTCTTTTTTTTTTTACAGCTGTTTCCAGCCTGCCAGCAGAGCTCTGCACAAAATGGTGAGTGTCCCAACACACTTTTTTCTTACTTTTCCAGCTGCAGTTTCATCTGTGTAATGAACTTATCCTGAGCTCTATTCTTGTTAATTTGACACTTTTAGAAAAGCAGTTTGGCATGTTTAGGTACTTTCGCTGTCCGAGGTGCTGAAATGCATCCCTGTATTTAAAACTTTATTTTCTCCCTTTTCCAAACAGAAGCCGGTTGTCTTTCACAAAAGCATTTATTACGGGATTTTACATTTTTGTCGTGGCAAATGTTTCATATTTTAGTTGGATACAGCATACTTATTCCTACTATTTTACATCAATTTGTTCTCTGTTTAAGCAAAACTGATTACAACCAGGTGCAGTTCCCCGTCTAATTTACAACACTACTAAGTATCAATCAATTAACAGCTATTTTTGAAATACAGCTCATCCTATTTTTTCGAATCTGGATGTTCTTCGGTTTCTTTCCCCTCCCCCTAAAGGCTACATTTTAGGAAGTCATTTGTAATTCCCCCGCCCCGGGTCCGCTCACTGCTTTAACGCCGGCGATCTCGCATGCCTGCCGGGGAGAGCGGAGCTACGCCGAGAGACCCGCAGCAGCTTGTCTATTGCCCATAAAAATCAGTGGATGTGTGTGGCTGAATGACATGAGGGGGAAATGGGCCGTAAAATTAAAGAATCTTGCAGAAAGCGAGAACCGGAGAAGCAAAGCAACCCCCCTCCCCTCTAACACACACACACACGCACACACACAGAAAGAAAAAAAACACTCTGTGGACTGTGAGCTGAAACTATAGAGCAGCCAGACCATGCTGCAGAAAAACGTTGCAGAAATAGAATTGAGATTTTTTTAGTCCCAGAGCAGAGATGTGTTGCTGCAGCTTCACAGCTTTTCGCTTTCTGCCGTCCTGCAGCTTTTTCTCTTGCTGATCTGTCCCTTCATGTTCCAGGATTTCTCTGACCAGAGCAACATGGCCAAACAGCCGCCCAGCCATCCCACCGGCTACATCCCGACGCAGCAGCCTGACGGAGCTGCGGGATTTACAGCAAACAAACCGGACAACAGTGCTGCGTGCCCCCAGCCCTCCCCTCACCATCACCCGGCGCCTCAGCCGCCTCCCCCCTGCAACGAGAGCAAAACTTTTTGTCCCACGGAAAATAAACAGGCAGAGCAGGACAGCAATAAAGCGTATGGGACGTTTAAAAATAACCCGCCACCCGTCCCTGGATCCGTGGCTGCAAATTCGGCCTTTAGGAAGGATTCCGTCGGGTCTGCCCGCGGGGGGTCTGCCCCGTACATCGACCCGCTCCGGGCCACCACGGAGCAGAACAACACCGTGGGCAACTGGACGGCTATGAGCCAGACCACCATCATACTGGGAACAGATGGGAACACGTCTGTTCAGCCCGGCACCGTGACGGGGGTAAGTCAGCTAAATGAACCGTTTCCTTAACGGAGAGCGGAGCGGCTGGAGGCAGGTGCGGGGTGGATGTTGATGGAAAAAAAAAAAAAAAAAAAAAAAAGAAAGCTGACTGGATTAACCTGCTGCCTCCAAACAGGGAAGGTGCAAACCCTTGGGAGCTGTAATCGTCATGCAGAGCTGTAGTAGATCTGTGCTGTTGATGCGTGGTGGAGTGAGCGAGGGAAATCGAGTTTTTATTTATTGATTTGTGTCTCCTTAAAATAGATTTAGAAGTCACTGGTTTTGGGTTTGTTTTGCTGTAAAGATGTGCGTAAAAAAAGTGTTTAATTTTAGCCGTATGACTTCCAAATGAATCAGTGAAGGCTTCAGGCTTTACTGAGCAGAGACTAAAAAAAAAATAGGTGATCATTACAAGGCCGTAACCGATCGCTCATTATTGGGATGTTAAAGACTTGTTAACTATTCGAATAGACAGTGGCTTAATGTGTTTGATTATTTGATTTCGTGTGAGTCAGGGTTTTTGGAAAATTAATCTTTCAGCAGTTTATTTAGCTTAAGCATGATGAATGAATGGCTATAAAATGTGCACTAACATGTGTACCAGCACATCAAAGCTGAAAGTGGCTTGATTGGGGAGCAGCCTACTTTGGGGTGGATCCTGAGCAATTTGGCGCCCCAGCTCTGCGCGGCATCCTGTCCTGATCCATCTGCACCAATCTGATGAGCCTACAAAACTTTCAAACCTGCTTATGTCAGCTAAATATTCGGAATACAAAACGGAGGTGTTATTAAATAATGAGTGTGGTTAACATCTGCAGACATCCAAGAGGGGATATTAACCCTGAACTAAAGGAATTATATTAGAGGAAATCAACCGACTTCAGATTATTTGTTTGGTTGATCTTTGCTCACAGATACAAAACGGGTGAGAAAAAAGGCAATCAAACTCTCGCGGTATTTTCGGTGTTCCCTGCTCTCTGCGCACGCACTTGGTATGGCCCAGAAGCCCAGGTGTTATCCGGCTGATAGGACAGCTCCGTATTACATGAGACTGCGGATTGTCTCCAATCCCCGCGAGGGAACTCCCCTCCTTTCTCACACATTTACACACACACACACACACACACACACACACACACACACACACACATACACACACACACATTCCCATGCATGATGCTTTTTGTGTCTGAATATTCATGCAGCATCGTTTATGAATTTGTTCAGATCCTGCGGTGCAGCTGTAATTACGCATCTTTGTAATTGCAGCCATGTTTATTATAGTGGCCAATCAGCAAAACATATTTTTTTACATCTTTCTATCTATGACATTTTGGATTTTTATTTGAAACGCATTTTCTTTGTGGCAATAATGGTCTTGAAAGTGTAGCGGAATAGTTTTGGCCTACATAAAGGCTTGTCATTGGACAGCTGGTGCTAGAGTCTGGTAGTCAAACGCAGCTGTACTGTGAAGAAAATTAACATGAAGGCAAATTCCTTTCATATTAAGGCCTAGTGACACTGCAGGAAAAAATGTCTTTAATTCCCTCACGCTTTTGCATTTTGAACTTACTTGAAAATATTTTTTGTTGTTAATTAATGTGTTTTCGGATTCTTAACGAGTGTTGTTGAGGACTGAAGAGTGGTTGTTTTCCTCAATGAATGAGTGTGGTTTTTTTTTATGATTATATTTCTAATGGTTTTAGGCTAAGAGTGTGGTGTATTGGAGAATAAATACATGGAAGTGTTTCTCCTCTTAGGCTGAAGAAGAGGACGAGGGAGGAGATGAGAATAAGGCCAGAGGAAACTGGTCCAATAAACTGGATTTTATTCTGTCCATGGTTGGCTATGCGGTGGGACTGGGGAACGTGTGGAGGTTTCCTTACCTTGCCTTCCAAAATGGTGGAGGTAAGCAATCGAGGCTATTTCTCCAACCGTGACAGAAACAAACGAAAAAGCACTTCAGAAAAATCACAATTTGCCCCGTTTAGAATGAAAGTTTCATCATGTTTCTCTCTGACTATTATCCTCATAGGCCTTCAACCAGGTCACGAATAATCCACGAAATAATAAGAAAAGAGAAATCTTAGAGTTTACAGGATTTTTATTATTTATTCTCATGAGGAAAAAATAAATAAAAATAATGCAGAGAAAGAAGAGAAAAATCCCCAGAATAAAATATACTTGTAATGCAATGATGTCGTAAATATAGCTAATAATATCATCATTATTATACCGTAATATAATGGCAGGAATTGTCTGTATTTTGTCCTCTATTGTACGCTTTTTGTGCTTGTTTTTTTTTTCATCAGCAGACATAGTCATAGTTATTTATCCAAATATTGCTGTTGGTCTGAAGCTTTTTTCCCGGCTTTTAAGCTTCCTTCTGTAGCCTCCTTTATTTGATTTCCCTGCAGGAGCTTTTTTGATCCCCTACCTGACTATGTTGGGCATTGCCGGGATCCCAATCTTTTTACTGGAGGTGTCTCTGGGCCAGTTTGCCAGCCAGGGGCCCGTGTCAGTGTGGAAATGCATCCCAGCTCTGCAAGGTAAACTGTCACCACTAAACAAGTAATGAATAATAATCAATAATAAAAACTCATTTGTAACATTACGAGTTCTCCACTTTTCTTAAGAGTAATTTATATATTTCGTCTCATTTATTTATTTTAGGTTGCGGGATTGCCATGTTGATAATATCTGTCTTGATAGCCATATACTATAATATTATTATGTGCTGGACACTGTACTACCTGTTCGCTTCGTTGAAGGGCTCACTGCCATGGGCTAACTGTAGGAATGAGTGGAACACGGTGGAATGTAAGGACAAAGACATGCTGCTGTTAGGTAAGACACACACCTTCACACACACTTTTACACGCACACACCAGAAGTACCCCTCTCTATCTCTCCACATTGCGCAATGCGTCATGACTCCCTCAGCTGAGGTGTCCTGCAGTATAATGAATCCTGACCTGTGATCTCTGCGGTGTTTTCACCCTCAAAAACACTTTAAATTTAGAGCCCTCCACTTTATCTATGTGATGGTTTTTTTTTTCTTCTATGATAATTCAAACAAGGCCTCAGTGTGACAGATTAAAACAAATATCAGATATATTTTCGATTCTACTTTTGTTTGAGGGAGTCACACTATTGCGTTTTTATCCTGTGAATCTGTAATTTCCAGCTGCAGCACTCTGTCTTTCTCTGATTTAAAAAAAAAAAATGAAAGTGCAGATAAAAATCCTGTTTGGACTGTGAGAAAATGCGCGTGCGTGTGTTAGATGTCGATCTGCGTCGAATAAATATCGAAATTCCGCTCATTTTCGTGTAATATTTGCCTCTAGCGATTGTGTAAATTCAGCACAAAAAACTGCTTGCTTGACAAATTTACTGTACTGACTGAGCTGCTGCAGTGCTGCAGTGAGCGCGAGACTGACCCCTGCTGGCTGACACACGATACTGCAGGCCATTCAGCACTTTCTCTCTCTGCCACTCTGAGCATTACAAATTAAAGAATAGCAACAACATATTCACACAGCTTAAAACAATAACATCACACAGCAATTTGAAGTTACATTAAAATGATTCATGAAGCGGTGAATTATGTAACATGCATTAACATCAACATATGTCTGCTTATATAAGGTGCGCAAATATTACAAACGTGATGCTAAAGACATGCATACAAATAGAAACATGAAGCAAATGTTCTAATTTTCTATAAAACAAACACATAACCTTCCATGTGTTTTATAATAGTTATGTCTTAAATAGTACATGGGCGTGTTTGCATTTGATTCATTCACAGTGTTATATAACATGTTTTTTTTTTTACATTTATTAATATACAGTTTGAGTGAAAACATTTTCACAGCTTCCTGTACATGACACAAACAAGTGCTCTGATTAGTCAACATAATCACACAAGATTTAACATAAAGTATCGCAGGATTTAAGTATGCTGTGAAAGACATTTAATTCTCAGTGTCATAAATAACACATCATTTTAGATTCATAATTATTAGACGTATTTGTTGTATATATTGTGACCTGGGTTTCACACATATAGACCAGGGTGAATCTTACATTCAGTGAACCAGAATAAAACAATGTCCATCATGTTAAAGAAGTTTCTTTTTTTCCCGTGAACTGTGGTCTTGAAAAATTGTCAACAGAAAAACAGGTTTTCTTATCTTTCCCTTTCCAAGAATATGGAATAAACTACAGAGTAAAATCGCTCACATAGATTCATATCTGGCTGTTTATCTACAAGAGGGGGGGAAAAAAATCTAACATGTTTCTCACTGAGGATCCTCACAAGCGGCCCTCCAATCAGCATCCTCTCCTCCACATCAGATCCATGTGTTCACTCCTGCTTTAAGTTTAAATGTTCAAACCCTGAGGGGACAATTAGCACTGCCCCACAGCAGCTCTCTGTCCGTTTCTCCCACCTTGACGTGTGTTGGTTTCTGATCGGAACAGACACGTGCATCCTGCGGGACAGAAACATCACCTCAGTGAAGAACTCCACTTTCTGTCTGTCCGCAAACGCTGTTGGAAACCTGAGCAAACTGCTCAACATGACTGTGGACGGAAACAAGACCTACGTCAGCCCTAGTGAGGAGTACTTCAAGTGAGTCACACTCCAGACTTTCGAAGAACTAAAGTTTTTTTTTTTTTTGCACAACTTTTTTTATTGAGTTTTGAGACATACAGAGACGAGTTCGACGGGGTTCTTATGTAATATAAGAGTAGTTTTGAGTGAAAAAAAACAACAACAAAAACTGAGAAAAACAAAGAAAAGGAGACAACTAGAACACAACCTAAGCTTGGCCGTTCAACCAGTTACAAAAGAAATAAAGAAGAATTCAAGTTTACTATGCTCATGGCATCCCCTTGTATTTAATTGTCTACATATGTTGTCCAATAGAAAACCAAAAAACCTTTGAAATTCACACACACACAAAGATCCACAAAACTTGTGGTGTTGACAGATATCTCTCTTATCATGAAACTCACTTAACAAGTTTAAAAATCTTCCAGTGTTACAAGTAATAAAATGCATTATTTTCTGTGCTTTTTAAGAAATTGATCCTGAAACAAGATGGAATAATTTGACTTGATTAAATATGAATTCTCGTATCATGTTCACTTGTGTCAGCGACAGCTTGAGATGATCTCATTGCCCTGACAGAAATTGTTATATGAAGAAAAAAAGACTTCTAAGACTTAATGATTAAAAGACTTTCATTGTACAAATTTAGCTTGGATCTTTTGTATGATGTATTATGTTAATTTTATTGAGCTTTGCTGTCTGAATCCTTGCAGGTATAACGTGTTACACATCTCTAAAGGAATAGAGTATCCAGGAGACATCCGCTGGCCTCTAGCCGGCGCTCTGTGTCTGGCCTGGATCATCGTCTACCTCTCTTTAGCCAAAGGAATCAAGTCATCAGGAAAGGTAAGACAACACAAAGACCCTGTAAACCTGTAATCTGACTCTGCTGCAGGGGGGGGAGGGGAATCTTTGGGTGAATTTATCGTTGAGGAAAGTGCCCCCTAGTGTTGAATGTATTAGTGAGTCTTGATGTTCTTCTCTAAAAGAACCTACAACCTTCTCTGTTGCCTGAGGTTTGGTTCTTGTGGCCCATTTTCCTTTATCTATAAAACCTTGTATGCAAGATGTTTGGAGAATCTTGATCTTTAAATCTCTGGTGGTGACCCAATTTTTTAAAAACAAACTTTGTTTATGGCTTTCTTTATTCAAAATTTTAACCAAAAAAAACTTCTCATACATAAAAATGTAAGGCACATTCAGAAGATTCATTTTAGTTTCAGAATCTCTAAATCACCAATAAAACTCCTTCACCAGGGTTACTCCATGAGTCATACATTTAACAGTGCAAATGAACAAGTATTAAAGATCACATATTATGCAAAATGGTTTTCTAACTATAATATGAGTCCCTAGTCTGTCTACAAACCCCCAATTATGAGAAAAGTCCATCCTCTCCGTCTTCTGCCTGCTCCACTTTTCAGAAAACGTGTGCTCAAACAGGCCGTTTGGAGATTTTCCCTTCATGACATCACAAAGGGCCTCTGAGTCTGCCTTCTCGCCTTAAACAATAGGACATGGAGCGAGAAAGCCCGAGCCACCCAAGCCCTTCCAGAGAGGGGGCGTGGTCAGACACAGCTCATTTACATATTTAAGGGTACAGACACAGAAACAGCCTGTTCTGAGCAGGGCTGAAATAGAGGGGTTTATAGACATGATCAAATACAGGATCAGAGTGGATTTAGAACAAGAGACTTCACAGACATGTTTTGGGAAACTCTGAGAATGATTTAAACTTGTCGAAAATGAAGATAATATGTGACCTTGAAACCAGACAAATGTTCAGACTTAAACCTGACATATGTCATCTGCTCACACACTTCTGTTCTCAGCACTTCCCTTCATTTATCAGTGAGGTTTTACAATAGACTGTTTACTTTGAACAACAAATTGGGATGAATTCATATTTGCATAATTATTTTCCTGCATTTTATGCACATGTTTCATTGCTTGAGGGGATGAATTAATGCTTTTGACCAAATGCATGAGCACACATTTTAATTCATTCAGGTTGAATTATTGTATTACGACGCCCTCTACTGGACATAGATGCAACATGCACTGTGGTCCTATTTAGAGACCTAGGTTGGTAACAGTTCATATGTTGCTGTCTGAGGTGTTTATCTATTTAGGAAATAGTCACTCAAAATGTACTCTTTAAGAAACATTATTTTACCAGTCTGCATGCTGGTGCAGTGGTTAGCACTGTTGCCTCACATCCAGGATGTTCCTGGTTAGAATCCCTGTCGGACAGGAGTACCCGACCTCTCGCCCAGTGAAAGCTGGGATTGGCTCCGGCCCGCCACAACCCTGAACGGGAGAAGCGGTTTAGATGAAAGATGGATGGATGGAATTTGGTAACAGCTAGATAAAGTTTAGGACTATAGAGACAAATATCTACTAAGTAAAAATGAATGATGCATATTGTTCAGAAAGTGAGTAATGTGTTAAAGAACAGGTGCTTCATTAAATAGTATCCCTTTTTAAGACCTCTGATATCCATGAATCCCCACTATTCTTGTGTGCCATCTCCTCCTCTTTCCTCCTCTCGTCTCCTTTCTGCTCAGGTTGTCTATTTCACAGCCACATTTCCCTATGTGGTGCTGGTCATCCTGCTGATCAGAGGAGTGACCCTGCCTGGAGCCTTCGATGGCATCCTTTACTTTATCACACCAAAGTGGGAGAAACTGAGCGACGCAAAGGTACGTCACACCCTCCTGTTGAGCTAAGCCAGGCTGTACTGTATGTCACACCAGGTTTCCTTTTACCTGCAGCTTTATCTCTTTCCCCTCGTCAGGTGTGGAAAGACGCAGCCACTCAGATCTTCTTCTCTCTGTCGGCTGCTTGGGGAGGCCTCATCACTCTGTCCTCCTACAATAAGTTTCACAATAACTGCTACAGGTAAACACACAAAAGGTAAACTATTCTCCTGGCAGAATTAACCCAACTGTCACCACAGATGTCTCTGTATGTCTGATAGAAAATGTCCAGTAATAAAACGTCTCTCTTTGCAGCCTGCTGATCAGTTTTTCTTGTTGTCTCTCACCTCAAGTGTCTCCTTATCGATTGTGTTTAACATCAGAGATATATTTCATTGAACAAACTCTTGCTTAGCTCAAACCATACGAAGGTACTTTCTCTAGAGACACCTGAATTCATACACTATAAAATACTGTGTGATGCGGTTCATATGTTTTTTAACAACTCAGCAGTAACACATAATGAGAAAGTGCTTTGACGACAATTACAGTCTTAAGAAGCCTTTTCTCATCAGTTAAAGTGTAGATACACTCCTTTCTTTAAGTGCACATGAACATATTCTTAACACATGAAATACTCAACGGCCCTACATTAATATAAAATAAAGCAAAGTCATTGCATCAACTTACGTTTCAAGCCAATGGCTGTTATCTTAATCTTATAAAATAGAAACATTACCCAATAGTTATAGCACTGCGCCCCCTTGTGTACAATTTATGTAAGTGCCAAACGCTTTATAGGACCTTTTATTTGCACAGTGTGTATTTCTGCCACCAGGGGGCGCCATTGCATCTTTTTTTTTTTTTTTTTTTTAGCACAAGCCAGTGATGACTGTGTCAAAACAAAGTGTGTTATCATGTAAAAAAATAAATAAATATGGAACCCTCTTTTAGTTACTGAAGAATGTAAATGCTTAATCAGCCTCTGTGTTTTTTTCTCTCTCTTTCCTCCTTTCCCTCTGCAGGGACACTATTATTGTGACGTGTACAAACAGTGCCACCAGTATATTTGCTGGGTTTGTCATCTTCTCGGTCATTGGTTTCATGGCACATGAGCTCAAAGTGCCGATAGAGAAGGTGGCAGATGAAGGTAAGATACCAAAGCAGCAGCATGCAGCAGCAGTTTGACGCTGCTCACTGAAAAACACACCTGGACATCTTTGTATCTGCTGTGGATACACAGTGTGTGTGTGTGTGTGTGTGTGTGTGTGTGTGTGTGTGTATGTGTGTGTGTGTGTGTGTGTGTGTATGTGCTTCCTCATTTATGTGTAATTGTTTGTGTGTGTGCTTCAGGTCCAGGCATTGCATTTGTGGTGTATCCAGAGGCTCTGACCAGACTCCCCCTCTCTCCCTTCTGGGCGATCATCTTCTTCCTCATGCTCCTGACTCTTGGCCTGGATACCATGGTAACCATTGCTCCTTCAATTTGTGTGTGTGTGTGTGTGTGTGTGTCTCAGACATACTTAAGTGCATAATATATCCTTATTATGGAGATGAAAAAGTAAAGCACATTTTATGGTTTAACATCTCTGTGTGCGCTAGTTTCAAAGACAATCCGACATTAAAGAACTCGGCTTGTACAGATAAACGCGACACAATTATAAAAACACAAGTTTGTCTTCATGTGATAACTTAAGTCCAGACTATTAATGTGGCAAAAGAATGAAACAGAGGGTTTGAAAGCTCCTTTCACCTTATTGTGTTGTTAATAACATGGCTTGTGTCGTTAGGTGCAAAACCAGCCACAAACAAACTAAACTTCAGTCAGCTGAGTTTCATCGTTCTAGTAAAGAGACACACTATGAACAGAGCTGATGCTGCAAGTAGTTACTGAGTCCAGTAATTAACAAGCAAGTGCTACGAACACTAAATATTCCTACATCAAAAAAGCCTTCTGTCGACACTTGTTCAAATAAAGAAGATAAGACAATAAGGAGGTGTTGGAGTTATACACACACAAAGGGGGGAAACCAGACACTCAAGCATGAGAATAAAAAAAATAAATCTAAAAATGAGGAAAGAAATACTAAAAAGGCGTTTATTATCATGGCTAAATCATTTCACATTTCCCCATGTTTTCCAAGAGCATCGTCTACTTTGACCACCCTGAGCAACCATCCTGAGGTATTTGAGTCATTGGAAGATGAACTTTTTGTTCTCTGGATGAAGTTAGCTTAGCATGTAGCTGAATCCAGCTTTCAGTCTTTTTTTTTTAAGCTCGGCTGAACACATGAACCTCCATTAACAGCTCTGTAATAGATGTAAAGGGTTCAGAGTTACACTCAACTACTCATCCGAATCAATACAAGACAAATTTTATAAAATGTATTTTGGCCACCAGGGGGCAGAAGAACTCCACAATCACTTGTTTTCCCACCACCCACAGTTACACATCCAGCAGATACATAGCAACCTTATAATCCTTATAGATTATAAATGTATTCTCACTTCACCTTTAACTTGGTGTTCACAAAATCTTAATCATAAATATGTTTCTTCATCTACTTTATGTTCCACGTTCCTCACCAGCTAGTTGCTAAATTCTTCTGTTTAATGCTCAGCAGGTAGTGTCAAGTGTGTTTTTCTCAGCATTTGTCTCGTCACATCAGCCTGCTGCTGCAACAAGTGAGAGTGATTGGAGCATTGAGATTGAACTAAACTGTACATGTGAAACTTAAGACCCGTTTTCCACCAAGCGGTCAGGTTTGGTTCATTCTGGTTTAGTACGGTTTGGTACTATAAATCCTGATCTAGCTTGCGTTTCCCCAGCCAACCGTATCCTTACATATCACTAAATCACAGCGACGCAAAAATAGTTTAAACGGCCAATAAATTCAACAAAGAAGAAGAATGTGACACAGTAAACAGCATCATCATCATCATCCAACAAGCTTCCCTTAAGCACATTGTCATTAATTTAATTTAAGTCAAAACTACAAGTTGAGTTCTTTAGTTTCATGCCAATGATCCCTCTTAGATCAAATTAAGGGGAAGGAAAAGAGCTATAGGGATTGTGTTTTAGAAGCAACTGTCCATTTTTGTCCCTCTAATAATGATAGTAAATTCTGTTGTCCTTTGTGTGTTTGTGTTGGAGAGAACATCTGTTTCCACACAGAGTGTTTCCATTTTTGAACTTCTCTAAGTTTCACAACATTCACGATCTTTATATAAGTAACAAGAGGCTCTTGACTTTCGTTTGCTGTGAAGTACACACTTCACTTTGGTTCCACCATCCAGCTAAGTATAAACGCTGCATGCATTGACCCAATTAACATAATTACCCGTACACACCACCCACTGTGACTGATTTCAGCTGAAGTGCTCGAGCTCTCCGGGTACTCGAGCAGAGGGAGGGGGGCTCTGTGTGATTGGATTGAGTGAAATGAAGTTGACCTTAAAGTTTTCTCACAACAATGCTGACGTAACACAAAGTTTGAGTTCAGTTTAAGAGCATCACATTGAAGTGAGGAGGTTCCAGCTTTAAAATTCCTAACAGTGTTTGCAGACATCACGGCGGATTTCAGCCTTTTTTCCCCACAACTATGACTTTTTTTTCAAAGTTATTTTTCTGGCAATTTTTGCCTTCATTAGAGAGGACAGCTGGAGAGAGACAGGAAATGTTTGGAGCAGAGAGAGAGTGAGGGATGACACGCAGCGAAGGGCCTAGTCGGATTCAAACTCACAGTCGCTGCAACGAGGACAACAACCTCTGTACATGCGTAAGACATAACCGCTAGGCCATCTGGCATTAAAGGCTTAGAAGGAGTATTATCTTCTCACCTGTTAAATCTGATCTCTAACACTAAAAATCCAGCCACCAACTTCCATTGCTTGTAAAAAACCTTCAATTTCAATCTTTTCCTTCAGAAAAAGTAATATATGTAAAATCTGATTTAATGAATGAGTGCGTTAACAATGGATCAAAAGGGATGGTATAATCTGTGAGGTGTCGCTCAAAGTGACACAGCCACAGAGAAATGTCACACTCGATGTTGTTCCCTACCACTCTACGGTCCGTTCAATTTCATTCTTCCTCACCGCATAAATTTGGGTAACCTGAGTGTCTACCGACCCACAAAATGTGAAATAAACCCATCCAGTCTTTTGTTTGAGGTCTGTAAAAGTCTTACAACACAGAGGAAAATGGTCTCCTTGTGATGTCACAGTGGGATTCTGGTAAAAAAAAAAACTCCCCTCCCCTGGTATCTCCACCCATTGCATTTAAAGAGACACACACACCAAAACGGAGCGTTCTGAGAGAGCTGGTTTATACAGGGTCACAAACCTCCTCTGGTGCTTGATTCATGTTATATTTTGACCAAAGCACAGCACAGATGTTTCATTCAGACCACAGGGGACTGTTTGAAAAGCTGGAGAAGGGGGGATAATATGTCCTCTTTAATATCAACAAAGTCACATGTGACCTGGGATGACGCACGACGTAGCTTAAATATCCTGCGTCATCACGTGAGACGTCCCTACAGAATCTTCTCGCTGAGATCCCGAGTGACAGAGAGCTCTCAACGGTCATCCAGAATTCATAGAACCGTAGTTACAGACGTAACTCTCGTTTTAGTGCCTTTAAGATCGTTGTTTCTGTTTTTCCTGTAAACTCTGCTTACATCAAGCTTGTTTTTCAGCAGTTTTATGCTGTTTTATGCCAAAGATCTCTTATAACCCAACCAAACAACAACTTCCTGGAACAGACCACAACTAGAGTTAAAAATGACCTAATAAATACCATGGAGATACGTCGCTATGGTTTTAGGGGAGCGAAAAAGAGACAAAAGGTTAATTTTTTAAGGCACAAAAAAGACTTTAAATTAGTGAGATCTAATCTTACTAACTCGCCCGGTGTCTGGTGAAGCTGGATATAAGGTCATTTTTTTCTAGTTTAATATCAGTTTGTTGTTGTTTTGAATCCCTCAAGTCGCCTATGTTTGGCTAACGCAGCTTTTTAAGTGCAGAACTCGTTCTCAAACTCTAATTGTGTGTGAGGTACCGCACTCATTCATCCCCTTCTGTTACTTCGGTAAACAAACACTTTCCAAGTCCAGAGCACCTTCAGGTACAATCCTGGGCAAACAAACGCAGATGAAAACACTCACTCCTCGCCGCGCTCCGTGATGCTCCTGAGGCGAGCGGGAGGAGCAGAGGGCACAGTGGCACATTAAGACACGAGTCAACAGCAACAGTAAATGATGATGTTACTTTGCTTTGGCAGCGGCGGCTCCGAGGAGTGGGCTGATGGTGGCTTTGTTGTAGAAAGCAGCTCGGGCGATAATAGGCTTGGGATGTTGACGGGAAATTAGTTTTGGGAGCTCAGGAGGAAGGCGAGGAGAGGAGAGGAGCGGCGGCAGATAGCTCGCTGCCAATGAGTTTCTACAGCAAACACGTTAACACAGCACACAAACTTCCTCTATTTACTTGTTTATATATTCATCTACATTCTCCTGGGTTATGAGCCCTTTTTACCTTCTTGTTGCTTTCGCTAATCTCCACACAGACTCCACCTCTCAGCTCTCCTGATTGTAATCTAAAATGTATAATAATGTGTTTACAAAACTTTTCCTGCTCAGGATTAGGATAATGTTCTTATGTTTGTAGTAATTTCAGATGCAACAGATAAAACAAACATGTTTATCGGTTGAACTGAAAGCAAATGCCTCACAACACCGGAGCAGCTGCTCCTCTATTTCATCTTCTTTTTTGAGTTAAAGAATAATTTAAGATTATTTGTAGGCCTTTCTTTTTTTTTTGCCGGGCTGCAGCGAGAGGAAATGTGAGGTAGTCATGCATCAAAGGGCTGAGGCCAGTGTGTTGAGGACTGTGGCCTCTGCATATGGGTCACTTGCAACTACCTGAGTTAAACTGGAACTCTTGCTGCTTCTTCTTTTCTGCCATCGTAAACCTTTTTCAGTTAGAAGTGAAGTGCTGCTGCAAACTGTGTCTGTAGAGGAGACCTCCAATCAGTATCGGCTGCAGAACTTGACTTCTACATATCAGCAGATATTAATATATTAAAGACATATCAGCAGCTGTGTTTTTGTTTTCCTGTAGCTGCTGACATGAGTTTTGTTGTACAGATCATGTAATGCAGAAAACAACAATTTGGATGATTCAGTGCTGTCATTATACAATTTGTCCAGCAGAGTGCGCTCTGTCTCCATTGTCTGCAATACTCACAGTGCTGTCTGCAGCACATGTATATATGCATCATTATATTGGTGCAAATTGAACATATAACCCACTAAGAAAAAGGATATTTTCATTGCAGCTAAGAATGAATATAAGAGTTGTACTATTGTAAAATACCCGTTTTAATTGTGTTAAATCACACATCTGTTGGTTTGATCCTTGAGTATACCTGCAGCGTTTAATGTGGACTTGTTTGATGATCTGTTACTTTAAAGAATTTAATTCAATATATTTTTAGGCAAAAATTGCAATTGTAGTTAAACATCTTATAATAAATGTGATCAAATTAAAAATTCTGACTTTTCTCTCCTTCATCCCCCTTTTTTTTTTTTTTTTTAATATTTTCCCACTCCTCTCCTGGCTTATTTGTCTTCCTGCTTTTTTTTCCTCTCACTCATTCGTGTCCCAGTTTGCCACCATTGAAACCATCGTAACCTCCGTGTCCGACGAGTTCCCCAAATACTTGAGGAAACACAAACCTGTGTTCACCCTGTGCTGCTGCGCCTGCTTCTTCATCCTGGGATTTCCCATGATCACAGAGGTACGACACTGACCCAAAAACACACATCTATCCTCACTGACACCACATCAAAGGGACGCTTTTAGCATTCTCCTCGCCCTGGACTTTTTCTTGGAAATAAGCCGACAGATTTCTGCATTTTAAAGCGAGTCGTGGCCTTCAGAGGACAGGCTCAGCGAGTGGAACTACAGAGTCTTATTAAAATCCGGGCAGAAAACTTCAGAGGGGGAAAAAAAATCTGCTCCAAAAATAGGATTCATACATGTCAGTTCTTATGATCTGATATGATGGAAGACAGTGAGAAAGTTGATGGGTATCATTGTAAGATAAAGCCTTGAATTGTTTTTGTGTGTTTGTGTTCGACAGAGCGGGATGTACATGCTGCAGCTGGTCGACACATTCGCAGCGTCCTACTCTTTGGTCATCATTGCTATCTTCGAGCTGGTTGGGATTTCCTACCTCTATGGTAAGTAAAGATGAAACTGGGCCTTTTTGTTTTCAAATTAGAACTATCCCACTTTGTCTGTGTAATGTCATTAACTCAGTTTGAAATCACACTCACTGCTGAATGAAGCATCCTTCTTACAAGGTGTCGGGATCCGATACAGTGACAAACTTTATGAACACCCTGCTCTCACGAGGAAACAATAACACTACATCATTAACAGTCAGACTTATTATCCCCATCCTCATTAAGAAAAGAAAAAAAACACTCCCAAGATTCCTTGGTGTCATTCAGTTTTCAAACACATTACTGTTGTCTACACATAACCAAGCTGCTCACTTTTAACAAACCGTCCCTGCAAATATGAATACTTCAGAATGCCATGAACACAAACATTCCAAAAACAAAATGTATTTAAAGCAGTTATTGGTAGTTTTAATACTATGGAGTGTCTTCCATAACAACAAACACTGTATAACAAATTGCCATGAAGTCTGCATCTGTGCAGAGTTGCGGTTTTTGACAGCTCACTCCTAGCTGACACTCAGAGGTTTGAGATGACACTCGATGTTGAAGACCCTCCACCGCATGTAAAAAAAAGAGGGTGTAAAGGTGATGTGAAAAAGGCCCACTGTGTTGACAAACAAGACTAAAAGTGCCTTCACACTTGCACAAAACTCCTGAAAACTCCTCCTGAAGTTCATATGCGAAATGTGAAAACGGCTTGAAAGTCCTGTGATGGCCACCAGAGGATAATGTGTTACATCCCACAACATACTGACAGTCCACTTCTCTTCAGGATCTCTAGTCACATTTAGTGCTGCTATGCTCGTGAATGATTAGATTTTTTTTTCAACAGCACTTTGTTTAAAACTGAAGAAACCGGGGCATGATTAGTTAGCACGCACCATGTATGAAAGCCATAGTCCTCCAAGTGGGGGGGCCCGGGTTCGAAGCCGACCTGTGACTCCTTTCCTGCATGTCATGCCCCACATTCTCTCTCCCCGATTTCTGACTCTATCCGCTGCCCTTTCCCTGATAACAACCTGAACCCCCGCCCTTAAAAATTAGAATAAAAAAGAAACCAGGAAGTACTTGAGTGCTGTTTTTCTAATGACTGACCTCAACTCAACTCAACTTTATGTATAAAGCACTTTAAACACAACATAGTTGATCCAAAGTTCTGAACATTGCAGAAAACAAAGCATTAGATTAGCATTGTTTATGTTTACAGTAAAAAAAAAAAAGTGAGTCACAAACAGCTAGAAAACACAAAAAATAGTAATTCAAGCGATTGTCTTGAAAGGCTGTTAGACTGAGCTTAGAACAACTTTAATGATCATGAGGTCACCTGTGTGTAATTTTACACCTAAATGAAACAGTGTCTGACTTCCATCTGTAGTTAAAACTTGAAGGACTATCTCATCCCTAATTACACCTTACATCACTGATTGTTGTGATCAAGAGTTGGCCACACCCAACGTTTAAATCGCAGCATCATCAACTGCACCTGTCAATCACTGCCCGTGTCTTTCAAACTCAAGATCTGTAGTTTGTGACTCCGGCTCTCTGTGAAAAATATGTTTCATAATGCTGCTTTTCTATTCTGAATTATAAACAACCTAAATCAAGTGTTTTAATGTGTTAAAATTGGAGATCTTATGATCATTTATTTACATTTCAGCTTTTTAGGCCAGCAGCATTTACAGAAAAAAACATCTGACAGAATAAAATTGTTTCCACCAAAAGGGTAAAAGAAACAGTTTTTTACTTGATCTTTACTTGATCAATTTGAAGTTGGTCATGTTGGAAAATAATTCCCCCCCCCCCTGTTGTTTTCTGAATGGTGTTCCATCAGTGCCCACTAGGTGTCTCTGTTGTGACGTATAGGTCACAGATGCAGGCGGAGGGCTCAGGTGTGTGTCAGAAGGCTGTTAGGAGCAGAGCAAGCAGCTCTCCTCCAGTTTGTCAGAGCATCAGTACAGGTGACATATTGAAATGATTGTGCGACTCTGCCTCTTCATGTCACTCACTGTTATCCGTCAATGAAAGCTGAGGAATGAAGCCATCTGCTCCCTCTTTTGCTTTTTCTCAGGGACGACAGAAACTGATATTCTCTCCCTGGCTCTCTCTCTAATGCACACACACACACACACACACACTCTCTCTCTCACTCAAGAGGATGGCTTTAAAGTCCCTGTCCTTTTTCTTTTTTTTAAGACACCTTATTAAACCCAGGTCACTCTCTGCGTCCCATCCGTCTGACTTTCTCCTATTTCTCTTCTTTTATTTTTATTTCCCCTCTTTCTCTCGGCAGGTCTGCAGAGATTTTGCGAGGACATTGAAATGATGATTGGTTTCCAGCCAAACCGATTCTGGAGGATCTGCTGGGCCTTTGTGACTCCAACCATTCTGACGGTATGTTTGTTTACTTTTTTTGCTCTGCTCATCTCTCTCTCTCTCTCTCTCACACACACACACAGACACACACTCTTCTCCAGACACACACTGACATGCGTCACTTATAATGTTTCCATTTCCGCTCCTGTCTTCCAAGTTCATTGATTCGCAATTGGGAAGTAACCAGAAAGAAATTGCTCTTGTTACACTAAAATCGAAAAAGTATTTCTTCCTGCCATTTCCAGTCTCCAAGTCTCAAGTTGTTTGTGTTCTTCATAATAGTCGCTGACAAATAGTCGGTGTGACGTAAGTACTGCTGCTGCAAATACACAAATACATTTACCTCCACAACACTCATTTCTGTTAAATCGGTGTATGCTTAATTGCTGTATGCTGTGCACCCGAAGCTGTAAATTAGAGCACACAGTGTTGAAAACTGGCCAGCATTAATGTTAGTGATGGTAATGGAAGCTCCAGAAACAGAGGTGACGATGACAAATGGAGCAGCATCGGGCCGGCTGGTCATCCTGCTGCTCTCGAGGGACTGCAGCTCTCCTCTGGGAGCTCATTGAAGCACAACCTCCGGCTAATACATTTCTGTTGGCCTGTTTTTCTCTGTTTGTTTGCCTTTTTCCCCACTTTTTGTAATCTTTCTCAGCCAAAAAATACTGTAGAGATAAGGTGGGCTCCTTCTCAGGTCCCTTTTTTTTGTATTCAGCAAACTGAAAGTAAAAAATGAAGGTCTGTGTTATCCATCTTCGTCTTTATATGGAACAGTGGACTCGGCTTTCTCCTCGTATTAACAGTTCAGTATAGGTAGTTGGAAAGACATTTGTTGTACAGTCTGTGTTAATAGCGGGACATAAAAGACATAGTGAAGCAACATCAGGCCGCAGCAGAAGGAAAACAACCATTTAAGTTGTTTTTACAAAATTTACAAGTAAGACAAGGCCAGTTTCTTACTGTAGCACGTCAGCAAAGTGATTCATATAAGACATCAAAAGCATCACAACAAATGGAAAAAGAAACACTAAAATTAAAAAGAAATATTTAAAAAAAATCACATTAAAGGATCAGTATGTAACTCTGACACCTAGCGTTTAAAATGGGTACTGCAGTCCAAATAATTCAAAACATTGGAGAGAGCTCTCGCCCCTTCCTCTAGAGTTGATGCTTGTTGTGGACACTGAAGCTTCAGTGTTTAGCCAGCTCTGCATCGGTCTGTAAACCTTTCTGTGTTCTAATCTCTCTCCATTTTTCAAAAGCATCTCCAATATTGATCCTAGTTTTGAGCTCGTTTTTGCTCGTGGAGCTTATTAAAAACATGCAGACGATTTTTAGGTTGAGTATAATGAGTAATGCCTGAACCAGTTTGCTTGCCCGCTTCCTTCGCTGCAACACCTGTTGGTTTGGTGTTTGCCTGGCAAATCGAGGGGTGTCCAAAACAGCTTTATGGGGGTGCCTTAAAGCCGCCTACCTTCTCTGATCAGAACAAAATATTTGTACATTTCCTGCATCTCTTTCCAAAACATGACAAATCACAGCGTGCACAGATTTGGCTCCACAACTGAAATTTGAGTTCCAGCCTCGCACAGCTCATCATCATTGACTTATGACTGCAGTTTTCTTCTATATGAGGAACACATTTGAAAGTGATGAATGATGCAAGTCTGAAAACTTCATTTTGAGTTTGTGACTCCTGTGGATATGGACGGGACTTTGTCAAGGACACTGCAGAAGAAGACCCTGATGGTATAAGAGAAAGCCCCTAATATGACGTACATTTCCCTTGTTTTCCCTGTCTGTGCAGGGCATCCTAGGACTGAGTCTGTACCAGTGGAAGGTGATGACATACGAGGACTACACCTACCCCAACTGGTCCATGGTTATGGGCTGGCTCATGGTCACCTGCTCCGTCATCTGGATCCCCATCATGTTCTTAATTAAGATGTACCTCGCACCAGGCACCCTCTCTGAGGTAATAATAGAGACAAAGTTGCGAGGAGACAGTGTCACGTATGTTTTGTTTTTGTCTGCTTTGCCCACACACTCAGACACACAGACACACACACACACACACAAACACTGCTCCACACACTCACACACACTGTCGGGAAAATCAATAGTCTCATCCTTCGCTCATTAGCAGGGGTGGCAGGCTGCTGGCTGCTGCCGGAGTATTAATTTGGACATTTTTCTGGGAGTCCGGCGGGTCTCTTTTAAATACTCTGATTAATGGATGATGATGATCGTGGCTTCCTCTCCTTACGTCTCCGCTCCCTCAGCAGCTCTGACAGCCGCCTCAATCACAAACCTTCCACCCAATTTTCTCCTTCACTTCAGATCTTTGCCCGACTCTAACGAATGTATCATCTTTATAGTTTTGACTCATAGTGGATGCTGCAAAACATCTTCAAACATCCCATATGTTTGGATGACGTTTCACATGCAAAATGACTCAACACTGTTCTTTCTTTTGATATGATCACAAAGTGTAAAGTACTGAAATCAGTGTTTACATCAAGACAGTGTCACACATTAAAAAAATATGACGAAGAAATCTATCAAAATGGACGACCTAGTTAACAATAAAACATGAATAAAAGAACCAGAAACACTTGAACTGTGAGACACTCTCGGCAGTAAATAGAATAAAAAGCTAGCAAGATCAGCCGGCTATGCACATAATTGTACCCTTGTAGAAATTGCAGAAATATTTTACACAAGGCACAAGTGAAGTGCATTTATAGAATAAACTGTAGCACTTAAATCCCAAAAAACTTCCCAGTGTGCCTCTCATTCCCCCACACATTCTCCAGCAGGGGCCTTGATAACTGGAGAATCGAGATTTGTCAGTATGGGGTCAGCGTTTTGCTCAAGTGAGGATGTCAGGAATGAATCCCTTAGATATATACATTAAAGCCACACATTGGTTTGATTGGTTTTCTTGGCCGCGCGATTGAATAGAATGTTTATTTATGAAGCACATTTCATTATAGGTAAGCTCAATGTGCTTTACATTGAAAAAAAAACAAAAACATAGGAATACAAGAGACAAAGTAGCTGTCTCAACAATCATGAATATGATACAGAAATCAAATTAGGAACAAAACAGAACAAACCAAAAGAGTACAAATTGTAAAGCATTATGAATAAATGCAGCCTGATGCCACACAAAAATCCAGCCTCCTACTGTTTGTAAAATTATGCTATTAATATGTCATGACGGGGGTTAGTACTTCTTTATATTATTAGTAACATAACCCCGCTGTGTAGGTGCCTGAATCTAAAAAAAACTACAAACATTTTGATGTTAACCACGAGCTGATGACTGTGGTGCACCTTAAAGTCATAATAAGTGAAATGTTTCTCAGCAAGCTTTGATTTAAAAATGGTACTGGATATTTCTAGTTAGTCAGTGCTAACTGATTGCTTGATTTTGAGTCTGAAGTGTTGCAAATGTATTAAGCTAGCTAGCTTAGATCTACGGTTAGGCTGTGAAACTGACTAAAACAAGTTTATACTTCTGAAAAGCATGACGGTTAAAGCAGACAGTTGTAAAAATGACAGCCAAACTGACTATCGTCTTAACATAACAAGCAGCTCCCAGTTTGAATAAGCCCCTCCCCTCTCATACAGAAACTTAAAGTATTGAGTTACCACCAGAGGCGCTGTTTGTCAACAGGCAGGGCAGGCAACTTCTTGGCGCCCCAGGCCAGTAGGTGGCCCCCAAGGGCTGAGAAACTTTAAACCACAGCAGTGGCTCAAACTATGCACATTTTTTCAATGACAGTAGAACACCTCCCTAAGAGGGCCCCATCTGACAGCACTCCCTCTCGTTGCCCTGCTAAGCGTGGCATGCATTATTATCAAAGTGATAATAGTCACCGAAGGAAAATGAAGAGGCATTATCCGTCTGAGAGTAAAAAAATAAAGAGGAAGATGAGTAATCATCGGGAAACTGGGAGATATAATGAACTCTGGTTGGAGGGACCCCCCCCATTAATTTTTGCCTTGGGCCCCAACAGACTCTGGAATCACCACTGGTTACCACTACAGAATATGATGAGTGACAGTGAGCAGTATTGCACATCTTGACTGAAAAGTTCAATCTACTGACTTTTGACGTTTGCTCAAAAGTTTAATTAAAGTCAAAACTGGGTTTAGAGTTAGTTTAGTTTAGAGTGAGGAGCCCTGCAAGAGCCAAAGTCACACTAGAGTGTTATCTACATTTTAAGACTTTATCTTTGGGCCATCGAGCAAGTGGTCATGTTTTGTGTGTGAAAATGTGTTGAGCCTTGCGTACAGTCAGATTTCTTTGGTAACCAGAACAGCCGCCGCCTCCATTAAAAGAATACAGGTGTTAGGGTATCTATTATTGATTTCACTTTTGACCTTTAAGGCTGCATCCACCGAGGATCCCATAGATACGACATGATGTATCCTGACTGGCCGTGTTTAACCCCCCTTTATGTTGCCTCTCCTCCTGCAGCGCCTCAAACTGGTCTGCTCTCCGCAGCCCGACTGGGGTCCCTTCTTGATGAAGCATCGTGGAGAACGCTACAAGAACATGATGGACCCTCTGGGAACCAACTCACTGGGCCTCAAACTGCCCCCCAAGGACTTCCAGCTCGGCTCCTACCAGTAGCAGCTGCCTCTGCAGCACCAGAGCCAACAAACCCGACCCCTGCAGGGGGGGTGGGGCACAACGAGGAAGGAGACCTTCACCTCTTTTTCTCCTTCCTACCATCCCATTTTCTCCTTCCCGTTCCTCACCCTCTTTGCTTCCTGTCTTCCTCCCTGTAATGTGGATATGGAAACAGGCTCCCTTTCTTTACCACTTCCTCTCCTCTCGTATGAAGGAGTGGGTTTTCACAGGTGGAGGTCTACTCCTCCACTGCTGCTTTGTACTCGGTTAATGGGCTATCATCGCCTTCCACACATGACCACTGATTACTCCAGAACCCTTCCCAGGGATATTTATTCCAAGAGAAAAATTGTGTCATAAAATGACACAGCTCAGACTGCACTTGCAATATTAGACTCACCGTAGCTGCTCCCTATGGAGTCCAGTGTGTGTGTGTGTGTGTGTGTGTGTGCGTGTGTGTGTGAGTGTGTGCGTGGTTTTGTGAGCATGTGTGCTGTCATCTTGGTGTGTAGAGGTAATGAATCATTACGGTGGAAGCAGACACAGGAAAACAAAAAGAAAATTGAGCGACAGAGAAACAGTGCTTCAACGAGCTCGGCGGGGATCTGTGTTTTGTTCCATCTCTGTACAAATTTCCATCTGCAATACAAATAATATCAACTGCCTCGGGAAAAAAAACAAAAAAACAACACAGTATGCATTGGCATCACATTTTGTTCCTATCCAGGAGTATATATATATATATATATATATATATATGTATGTATTATTCACACTAGCTGTTGCTCAGTCGCACTTGCTTTGTCAAAAATAGATTACAAAATCAGCAATTGCCTCCTACATCCCAGTAGAGTAGCGAATGCATCCTGATTACCACTTTGAATAGATACAATCTGGTCAGGATGGATCTGCAGTAGGATAGAAGCTCAACCTTATTTTTCCCTCTCTGAATCTGAGGGACCATTTGTGATACCCTCTCTCTCTCTCTTCCTCTATTTATCAAGTCGTATACCTGTCCTCCCTGTATTGTGTTAGCCTAGAATGTAAAGTAGCTATATTTCCAAATGTAGGAAACACACTAGAGTAGTTTAGCCTTCCTTCAGTCGAGGAATAACACGGCCATTTAACCTCAACAAATCTCCAAAACCAGACCTGGTAGTCGCCCTGTGCATATATATTTTAGACGGTGCATTTATCACTGTATGTGTTGTGAACTTGTCAAGCCTTTGTGAAAATCATCTTTACAACGTGCATCACATCGGTAAAGTTACTGTATAGAATATATAAATATATACAGATATACATCTATTTATAGCTTCCAGCTGAGGAGAGCTGTCTAGGCAGAGATTGGGAGTGTGTATGTGTGTTTTCATGTCTCTCTGAATCACATGTTTGCTAGCTGTGTATTATATTGTACAAAGTGTACACTTCTTTAAAAAACAAACAAATCTTCAACTTGTAGGTGTGTGTGTTGTCGCGTCCTCACAATGTTAGGAGCAGCTGCTACGTGTGAGATTAGATAACGATTACACTAGAAGAAAAAAAAATGGCCTCCTCCTTTTCCAGGAAGTGTACTTTGTCTCTTGTTGTTTGTGGTAGAGCTCCGGAGACCTCTTTGCCATTTTCAGACTTTTGCCTCTCGCTTCTCTATGTGTGTCCTCATGAAAAACAGGGTCTCAGGTATACTCGATTCCATCACACTACTCTGGTAGTTGTAGGAATAATCGCATTCAGTGCATAGGAAACAAGAGAATAGAGCCATTCTGAAGCTTAAAAAAAAAAAAAAACTATAACCCGGAGCAGTCTGCAAGTGTGATGCAAGAGGATAAGAAACAACTTCCTGATGATTTCGACGCTGCAGCTCTTTGCTTTTTACATGCTGCTGCTGCTTAGACGCTCCCTTCATGACAATAAAACAGGATGCAGGAGCGACGAGAGTAGTGTGTTTGACCATGCAGCGGTGAGTAGCGCTAAATCAAGAATCATTTTATAAAAAGAGTTACAAGAAAAACCACGGTCAGTTAAGATTCATTTAAAAAAGTATGATCTAAATTTGCCTTTGAACTGCCTTTCCAAGCCAGTCTGTTCACTGTCAATACACTGATGTGGAAAATGAAAGTCTCTCTGGGCAGCTTGCCTACACTGTTCAGTCCATCAGAAGCCGAAAAAACGTACTGTAATTAAGATTGTATTTACATTTTGTGCTACTGTAGAGTGAGTCAGAGGGGCGTCAAAGTCCTATCCACGTGTAACAGCACGGCAGCTTGCAGAAGAGTCTGGTGCAGCTCAGCGGGAGTCCAACTGACTTTACAGCCTCTGTAAATGTGACATGACAGGCAGCCAACCTTTACTCTCACGGACTGCCAACTAATTACCTACAAAGTAACACCATGTATCCACTCAGAAGCAATTAGTCTGCTCCATGGTTCCACCAGTTGGATAAGCATTTTCATGTTGATACAAAGTCCTGATTGGCTTTTAACACCGCAGGCATTTACTCATTGAGCGGCACAAGTGTTTTTAAAAGGACACTGCAGGTGTGGAAGCAATAACAGTCGCTCAGATGTTCTCCCTGAATATTTCTCTAAGCCACGTCTTTCATAATCTTGACACAAAAGCGTTGCACAGATCTGATTTAAGAGGCTGTGCAGTTTGAATAATAACGTAATCAATCAATGAGCACAAAAAAAAGCCCCTGCTGTTAAATAGCTAGCTTGCTCTGTGTTGCTTTTGTTAAGTCTGAAGCTCTATTTGTTCAAACGTGATTACAATGTGTGTCTGTGTATGCTTGTGTGTGTGTGTGTGTGTGTGTGTGTGTGTGTGTGTGTGTGTGTGTGTTTGTCTCTATTCATTTTACTGAACTCTTCTTAACTATGGATCAGATGTTTGCATGGTCAGTCTCAGAGTCGATCTCGAGGGAGGTCTATAGGACTGTTTTTTGTTTTAATGTAGGACGCCTTCAGCCGGTGTGTGGTTGCTTTTTTCTCGTTTCCAGATCTTAGACCACCTAGTGTGAACTTGAGCTGGGTAAAACAAATTTCCCTAAAAAGGTCAATCCTGGGGTAACCACTCACTTTAGAGCAGGGCTGGCTGAATTAGCAGGATGGGATTTGAAATCATGTGTTGGATATCGTGGACAGTATGTAGTAATATACTTGAATGATAATAGCCTTTTATGCCCTGAGATTGATTTTAATAACTTTCTGCAGGGCCACAGATGAATAGCTATAACTTTGGTGTGTTGTGTCCTCATGTTTCCATTTCCTACTGGGCTTCTCTGCTTTGGTTTTGAGGAAAAGAAAAAAGGCTTAGGGTTCGGTTAAAAAACCACATAGTTTCATCAAATGAAGAGCTTGCATGTGCAGTTTGTGTTGCTGTAACTCAATGTCCATCTATAGTAATCCTTGTCCTTTCTGTCTCCCTCTCTCCAGTAAGAGTCCGTGCATGTTTACTTTAGGGAGCTTTAAGTTGGACATGATGTTAAGAAACAAGAGGGGTTTGCTGTCGTCCTTCTTACAGACGAAGGAGAGAAAAAACAAAACAAAAAAAAAAACAGAAGAAGAAGTGTCTGTCAATTCGCTTTGCCTGCAAGTGAACTTTGGGCAGTGAAGGTAACCAAAGAACGAGAACTTTAAGTAGGGTTGTAGTGAAAACAGAAAAACTCACTTTAGGAGAATAAAGGAATGTGTCATCTGCGTAAAAGGAGGTTGTGATACTGCCATTCATATTCCATGTAGTGTTCCTTGATGTTCGCCAATACGTTACACAACATCTTCAGGTAACCATTGGCCTTATAGATGTCCTCTAATGGTAGAATATTGTATGTATCTCCAAAATAACACCACAGAATAGCTTATCGTCTGTCTCATATGGTACCAGTATTCCTATTGTTATGTCTGTCGTGTCTTTTTTGGCACTTTATCGTCCTGACCTATGGGTGCATAGGTTAAATTTCTAATTACTTGAGTAATGTCATATATTTCTGTGTTCAATATGAGGTACTGCTGCCTATGGATATAGATATGTGCCTCCAACAGCTCATGACATCCATTGCTTTCGAAGTAGAGACTAGATATATATACAAAAAAATATCTTTTAAATTTCGGTGTGAGATATAAAAAAAAGAAGATATATATCAAATATGTGAAATGCATTTATTTATTTATTTTCACCATTGTCAATCTTTGAGGCCCTACCTCAGATTTTGTATTTATGTATAGAAATGCAATTGGATTATAGTATATTTGCCAATAACAATATATCGCTATTATATCATGAAATGTATACCCTATGAATCAATAAATAAATGTTATTGTTTTCTTCATTGTGACTGGCTTCTTGTTTAGACTGACTCCCTGCTGTGTGAGCGGCGTTACAAACAACAAAACAAAAAAATTAGGTGAAGACAATTGTTCCCCTCTGTGACCTGTCACTCAAATTTTATATTCGGCTGCATGACAACTGAAAGCATCACGGCAGTGTGAGGAAAAAAAAAAAAAAATCTAATTCAGTTTGTTGTTTACTGCGAAATCATGATCAAAGAGGGTGGAAATTGAAGAAAAAAAAAAAGAGAAGCAGATTTAACCGCTCCTGCAGGCGTGTTATTTCTTGTTGCATACCATGTGCTGCTGAATGAACCGCTGACTGTGGCACACAAGGCTGGTGCATATTTCATGTAAAACTAATTTGCAATTGAAATCCATTTGCATGCAGTTTGTACAGTATATTAGGCTGTACACAGAAGAGACAAGAACCCCGACTAAACTGAGAGGCAGAGAGAATGCAGAAAACTCTGGGCATTCATGGCATCCAGCTTTGTTGTTTTGTTATAAAAAGAAAGCAAAATAATAAAATAGTTTAACTGATCTGGAAAATACATTTACTCTTCATTTTATTAAATAGTTAGCACTGGTAAAGCTGACTGCCCATTTAAGAGCAAAAAAGGTAACATTAGACTGACTGACGATAAAAATGACTTAAAACATTTGATTTTGGATCATTTAAAGAGTCTACAGCCTCCTGCAGCTTTGTGAAGTTGTACTGTTACAAAGACACTGTAGGCGAGTTAAGGCTTCAGTTTAAATCAAACCCCAAAGTAGAGACTGACGCAGGTAATATGATGTAAATAAAAAATGTTTAATGTTCAAACAGAGCAGGCAGTGGAGGCAGGGAGCTGGCTGGCCAGAAAAGTTCTCCTCAAGATGACACAGAAAACTCAGACGAAGAAACTGGTGAACAGCGAGGCACACCGGAGTACCTGAGTACAAGAAAACACAGGTAAGAACAAAAAATATCTAGAGCACAAAAAAATTGTGCTACAAAATAAACAGCTCAATTTTTCACAGAAAAAAATCTCTTGGAGACACTACCGAACAAGACTGAATTATCTGACAGACCAGTGGAGTGAAGACCAGGCTTTTATAGACCAGATAGTTAGCTGAGAGGAGCCAGGTGTGCCTCGTCTGCTGCTGAGAGGAGAAGCCAGCCACACCTCCTGCAGGAGAAAGAAAACAGAAAGAGGAGGAGGAGAGGGAGAGAGAGAACAAATGCAAAAAAAAAAAAAAAACCTACAACAAAACCAAACAGAATCATCACACTGATGTTGTCATGCATATGCTAACCATCAATGTCCACATACATCGTGCTCAGACGCCGGGGTCAGTCAGCGCTCTGTCGGACACACCCACTGCCCCTGTGGATCTGTTTTTATGGAACTTGATCACAGCCATGATCAGTACACACACATCACAGGAGAACTACA